TCCATTAGGTTCAGTTTTTTTTTCTTTTTTCTTTTTAGCTTTTAAAAAATTTTTATTAATTTATTTTGATTTATCAACAATCACTTCCATACGCTTTTGAGTTTAAAATTTTTCTCCCCCTTCCTCCCTCCCCCCACCAGATGACGCACAATCTGATATAGGCTATACATTTACATTCCTATTAAACATATTTTCACATTAGTGAAGTTGTAAATAAAAATTAAAACCAATAGGAGGAACCATCATAAAGAGGAAACAAAACAACAGAAGAGAAAAAAATACTGAAAGTCTGACAATTCATTAGATGTCCATTAGTTTTTTTCATTCAGGCCAACAAATATTTCTGAAGCACTTGCTATATTCCAGGTGCTGTCAGGGGCTCCAAACGGATTTTTGAGCTCATCGATTTGGCAGCAGCTCTCTACCAAGACCAAAAAATGAGACAGGCCATTCACTCAGGAGGCTGCTAAGGGAATACAACACATTCCCAGATAAATCTAAGCAGGATATTTCCGAAATAAATCCACAGTGCTTTGGTGGACTGGCACTAAGGAAGGACTTCCTGAAAGAAAGGGCTTTGGAGTCAAATCAAGTCTTGGAACTAGGCAGCGAGGAGGAGATAAGACATTTCAGAAATGAACAAACAGGCTGTACCAATCACAGAAGCAGGAGATGCTCCATGGGGAACACCAAGAGCCCATTTTACCTAGAGAAGAATGCTTCAGGGGGAATAATGTATGATCATCCTGGGACAGATTACCAAGAGCATTAAATACCTGAGGAGATGCTATTTTGTCCTAAAGGCACTGTGTAGCCACTGATGTTTCTTGAATTTAGGAGTGATTCCAAGACTACCCTTTGTCCTGTTGAGTTTCATACTACAACAGTGAGATTATCCATTTAAAAATAAGGAAACAGGACCAAGAAGGGGAACAGCTGAGTTATAGGGTGAAATTCTGAAATGGGGTTAACGTTCCTCTTTCTTCTTTCTGCAGCTTAAAGGATATGTTTTATGCTATTTAATGACCTGACCCTGATGGCTACTTCTATTGGGTCCCATGTAAGTACTGACCCAAACCATGTTCGGATCTGTTCATACACATGCAAAAAAGACTTTTGTTTCTTAAAAAGCTATTTGCCAATATTACACAAAAGCTTTTTTTTATAATCAATTTTGAGTATCAATGGGCTTTTATCATGAATTTAGGAAAGAAATCAATAATATACATCACATGTAGATGGGTGGAGGTCCTCTTAATGGAATAGGACCTAGAACTAAGCCCCAGTGGGTACTGAGGGGTTCCAAGGGGGGGGGAGATAAGGCCTTCCAGCTATGGGGAAACAGTCTGTACCTATCACAGAAGCAGGAGATGAAATCTGGCCTGCGGGAGAACACCAAGAGGGCCATTTTATCTAGAGAGAAAAATGCTTCAGGGCAAATAATGTGTGATCATCCTGGGACAGATTACCAAGAGCATTAAATACCTGAGGAGATGCTGTTTTGTCCTAAAGGCATTGTGTAGCCACTGATGTTTTCTTAAGTTTGGGAGAGATTCTAAGACCAACCTTTATCCTGTCAGATTTATACTACAATGGTGAGATCATCTGCTTAAAAACCAGGAAAAAATGGAAAATCTTGGTTTACAGGAGGAAGGAATCTTAGGGATCATCACCCAACGACTTCATTTTATAGATAAGAAAACTTAGGCTCATAGAGCTTAAATGGCTTCCTTAAAGTCATAGGTGGTGCAGTGAGTGGATAGAACACCGGCCCTGAATTCAGGAGGACCTGAGTTCAAGTCAGGCTTCAGACATAACACTCACTAGCTGGGCAAGTCACTTAACCCCATTGCTTAGCCAAAAAAAAACCCCAAAACAAAAAATTAAAAAAAAAAAGTCACAGTGATAGTCAGAAGCAGTCAGGATTTGAACCTGGGTCTTCTGAATCCAACTGCAATACTCTTTCCAAGTTCTGCATTAAGCTGTGCTTTAGCTTACTGAATACTAATGAACCACTCAGAGGGAAGCCCCTCTACTGGGCACTCTGGACATTGGTGTGGATAAACAATCACCTGCCTTGAGACTCTTACTGCTATGACATCATTTGTGAGTAGGGGTCAGGTCCACTTTTTAAAACTCTCATACTTCGTGCCAGGTTTGGCTTCTTTTTGTTTGGGATTGTGAGATTCTACCTGTGTGTTGATTTTACTATCATTTTTATAATTAATTTTCCTTTACAGTTTTTTAGCTACTGGCTTGCTGTTGCTTCGAGATATTGTGGTTGTGTGGCCTTTAGTTTTCTCATCTGGGAAATGGGCGCTTAGCCCAGGTATCTTGCACTGACAGAGAGCATGTGGTGTGATGGGTAGTGAGCCAACCTCAAAGCCAGGAAAATCTAGGTTTCAGTCCTGCCTCTGGCAACTATTGGCTGTGGGGTTCTGAGCACATTTCTTAATTTCCAGTGCCCTAGGCAGCTCCCTTATACATTATAATTAAATTATTTAATTAATTTATAATTAAAAAATGAGTTCGTTTATCTCCTGGGAATTCTCTACCTTCTATTAAAACAAAGTTTTTAAAAATAGGACATTGAATGGGCTGACTTAGTCAATGGGTAACATTAAATGACCACTCTCTGAGCCTCATTGGACAGTACTCGGGCTTTGTAGAACAGCTGTGCTCTTGGAACATGGCATTCAAGAGGCAATGTGGCATATTAGAAAGGTTCAACTGCTGATCGGTAGGGTCACCTTGGGCAATCCACCTCAGTTCTCTTGAATAATGGGGTTCAGCTAAGTTATCTTCAAGGTCCACTCCAGCTAAAGCATAGAGACTAAAGAGCTGTTCTTGGAGGCAGAGTTCAAATCTTGCCTTCAACAGTCACTAACAGTGCATTAGTGTTCTAATTCTCCCACACCTTCTCCAACATTTATCATTTTCCTGTTTCCTGCCAATATGATAGGTGTGATGTAGTACCTCAGAGTTGTTTTAATTTGCATTTCTCTAATCAATAGTGATTTAGAGCATTTTTTCATATGACTATGGATGGCTTTAATTTCTTCATCTGGAAACTGCCAATTTGATTTTCTCAGTACAAAAGAGGGTAAGTTTATGATCTTTGGCCTTGTGATTACATTCTCCTTGAGGAGACATACCTGAAAAAAGGCAAAAGGACAGATAATGCTCAAAATTACAAGCAATGATAATAGTAAGCATTTACATAGCCCTTTAAGGCTAACAAAGAGCTTTACAAATATCTTTTATTGTTATCACAGTGAACTTGAGAGGTAGGTGCTATTATTATCCTCATTTTACAGATGAGGAAACTGAGGGAAGGGGCTAAGTAAAGGGTCACAAAGCTCTTAAGTATCTGAAGCTAGATTTCAACGAAGGTCTCCTGCTCCAACTTCTAGCACTTTATCCACTTTGCCACTTAGCTTCCTCAATGAGAAATTAATGTTGTACAAGCTTATTGAGGCCTAATGCTCTTTCTATCTACTTCACCATCTAACTGCCCAATTGCAACTGATTGGATAAGTGGGGCAAGGGACTATAAAAAGTAGTACTGACAAGAGATACAAAAGAATAATGGTAGCCTCAATAGAATTTTCAGTTCAGTTGTTTTAGAGTCTCCTCTGACTTCATGACTTCAATTGGGGTTTCCTGGCAAAGACAGTGGAGTGGTTTGCTATTTCCTTCTCCAGCTCATTTTACAGATGAGAAAGCTGAGGCCAACAGGGTGAAGTGACTTGTTCAGAATCACATAAGTGTCTGACACCAAATCTGAATTACAAAGTCTTCCTGACTCCAGTCCTGGTACTCTATCCAGTGTGCTACCTACCTGCCATATTTTGATGACTATTTCAACATAGTTTCCTTTGCAATCCTATGTATTTTATGCATCTAAAAACCACTATTTTGGGAAGGTTTCATACTGTCCAAGGGGTCCATAACCAAAAAATAAAAAAAGTGAGGAAGCTCTAGCTCAACTTCTCCCTTCACCTCCTCCATTTTCCACATGACGAAACTAAGGCCCAAGTATATTCCACAATGCAAAATCCAGTCTGTGAAAAGCTTAGCTGAAAGCTTCCGGAGAGATGATCCCTAAGGCTCCTGTATAAGAAAGGGCAGATCATAAATTTCAAATGCTACAATAACTCAGCAGTTTATTCATACTAGAGTACTAGTACTATATACTAGCACTATACTTAGAGACGGAGAGTGGGACCAGTCAGTCATGCTACAAGCATTTATTAAGTGCCTACTATGTGCCAGGAGCTGCGCTAAGGCCAGGACCAACTGGACAGGAAGACAAGCCTGGACTTTTCTTTTGACGTGTGAATGATGGTGTCCGAACCCCCAGCGTTTCCCACTTTTTCAACTCTCTAGGCTTTAACTTTAGGGCCGAAGGGTGGGGTCCAAGTCACCAAATGTCATTTGAAGGTAGGAGACTGCTGGATAAGCAAAGTCAGAAAGTCCTCTGGAAAGCAGAGATATCTTTACAATCGCACTTCTGGGCCCTTTCCCCCCAGGAGATGCCGTCACGTGTTCCACGTGGAGCTCAGGAGCAGAACGTAAAACAAAAACAATCCCGCCCCCACCCCCCTCTTGCTGTCAGCCCCTAGGCCAGCCGGGCAGCGTTGATGATGCAAGCTCTGCAGATAGCGGCTGAGGGTATGTAAGCAGCGGCAGGCTGGCCACAGGGCTAGAAGGAGGCGGCGGAGGTGACTCGGAGGAGGAGGGGGAGGAGACTAGCCGGGAGAGGCCGGCTCGGGGCTGGGGCTAGAGTGCCATCCGGTGACTCAGGGCGGGCCCCGCAGGGCTCCTCTTGCTCGTACGGCTCGGCTCACGTGGCTAGGGCATCGGTCATGTCTCTTCGGGCGCTCTGGCGTTTCCTGCTTCTGCAGCCGCTGTTGACGGCCGCGGGGCGCAGTCTGCAGGTACTGTGCTCGGAGGGGAGGGGGCCGGCCTGGGGCCCGGGCTGCAGTAGGAGCAGCAGCAGCAGCAGCAGCAGCAGCTCCGACTGCAGCTCCTGTCCGGCCAAGCCACCCCCTCCCAACCCCTCCTCATCTGGGTGTTCTTCCGGGACCCCACGCGAAGGGTGTGTCGCGCCGTTTGTGCGTGGGTTGGGCGGGACGCAGTGTTCTCCTGCCGGGGGATGTGTGGTAATACGTGTTGTGTTGGTGCTTGCGTGGTGGTGAAAGCAGATGCTGTAGCGGGGTGCAGAGGGCTGGCTCGCCACTCGCATCTACTGGATGCTTCTGGAGACAGGGTGCTGGGCTCCCAGGTGAGCTGCAAGCTGGGGGCTGGGCGCTGGCGGCTGGCTTCTTCCCGCTCCTCTTCCTCGAGTTTCACGCTAGGAAGGCTGGCGGTTCCGGACCTTCCTCCGACTCTGCCTGTCTGTCCCCGGCCCGGGAGGCTTTTGTTTTACCTCCGCACTCTCCTGCGCAGTGGGCAGCAGTTGGGGTGGGGGTGGTGAGACGGAGAAAGCTTTCTTGAGCCTAGGGCCTGGCTGGGGTTTGGCTTGTTTGCTGGGGCACAGCTTCTTCCTCGCATTTCTTTCTTTTCTCGGGGTCAGGGAGGGCCATTCAGCCTGGGCATATTTGCCGAACTCTGCGCTGGCTTCTTTCCCAGGGCTGGAAGGATCGAGTCAAGTTTCCTACTTGGCCCCGGGGGAGGCTGGGCTGGAAAAAGGAAGTGGGGGTCCTGCTAGCATCTTAGCACTCCGGAGCGTTTGCGGAAGTCGGTGGCAGGAGCTCGTGGAGGAAATCCCCTCCTGGGCTCACGGAGTCAGTGCTGCCCGGCACCTTAGGGGCCGTCTGGGCCAACCCCTCCTTTTACAGGTGGGGAAACGGAGGCAAGAAGCCCGGCGACTTGCCCGAGACGTGGTAGCCTATTTCCACCCAGGGTCCGCTTTGGTTTGCTTGGTTTCCCAGGGGGCATTTCCCATCTTTGTCCCAGAAGTACTCAAATGAGTGCTTTTAAGCACTTTTAAGTTCTTAATACCCACCTCCAATTGGCCAGCTCAGCTCTGACAGCTTATCAGCAGGCTTGCCATGGTTTGAGCAGGAATTTTTAGTTGGGTGACCAGATGTGGGCAAAATTCACCATTGTACACAGTCAAAGGACGCTAGGATAGGGTGTGAGATGCATTTCTGCTGTAAAAGAAGGCAGAGGCGTGAGGGGTGGGGGCATACAAGTCACCTTGAAAGCATAGGCACCAGCTACCTGGGCTTGTTAAACATAGTATGGAGAGAAGCCTGGATCATTGAGTCATCAGGTGGGAGGTGAAATGCGTTATTGCTTGTGGATCTTGGCTTCCAGGATGGGGGCTGGGGAGGAAAGAATCATCCACCCACCTCTTGGTTGGAGAATGAGTGGGTGAATCAGAAACTCCCACAGCTCTGGCTTACTCTGTTTTCTGTTGGGAGAATGAAGGAATTCCTTAGCCAGCAAGCAATGGGACATTTTGTTTTTTATAAAGCAGAATTTAGTTGAATAAAATTTCACTTTTTGATGATAATTATTCAGGACACCTTGCATACCCAGTTTAAAAATGTTTTTGATAAAAGGCACAGAACTCTAAAAGCAGAGTCAGCAGCAGTATTATTGGTTTTATTTAAAAATTTTTATTTTGTTAAACGTTTTCCAATTTACATGTAAAATTTTTTTAACATTCTTTTTTTAGAATTTTGAATTCCCTCAGGTTCCTTCCCCACCCATTGAAAAGCAATCAGTATAAGGGGCAGCAGTGGATAGCACTCTAGCCCTGGATTCAGAAGGACCTGAGTTCAAATCCAGCCTCAGACACTTGACACTAGCTGTATGACCCTGGGCAGGTCACTGAACCCCAATTGCCTCACCAAAAAGGAAAAAAAAAATCTGAGGCAGGAGGGTCTTAATTTGGTATCCCTGCATAGATTTTTAGAGAGGGCATCCATTTCACTAACCTTTAACAGAATTTGAACATTTCTTTCAATTATTTAAAAACATTATTGTGAGAAGGGGTCCATCACCAGGATGCCAAAGGGGTCCATGACTCTGGACTAAGGGAAGGGTAATTTAAAAGCTGGGTATTGGCCCAAATAAAATCAAATGAGATAATAGTTAAAAAAAAAGCATGTACCTGGCTTTGAAAATTATATATATATATATATATAATATATATATATATATTATATATATATACATACACATACATAAATATATATATGTGTATATATTTGTGTATATATATGTATATATACACATCTACTTAGAAAACCACATGCCTGGCACTGTAAATTTACATATATGTATATATTTACAAAATTCATGCCAAGCACTTCTAAATTTATGTATATTTTTATTTATAAAAGCATATACCTGGCACTGTAAATTTAAATATATTTATTTATAAAAGCAAATACCAGGCACCATAAATTTACGTATATTTATTTATAAAAGCATATGCCTGGCACTGTGAAGATGCATGTATGCATGCATATTTATATGTGCATATGTATATGTGTATCCCCCATATAGCCTCCAGCTCCTTGAGAATTCCCTATCAGACAGGTTAGGATCCTCCCAGGGGCTCTTAGATTCCAAGGTACAAGGCCAGTGATGAATTCCAAGGTTCAAGACCAGTTTGCTGTTAGTGAACTACAGGCCATGTCAATGCAGGTTATATGAATGCTGTGAACTGGCTTCTTCTAACTCATGAGTGTTCCCCTTTTAGTCCCTTCTTTCTAGACTTTAAGATATTAAAATAGTCTGCTACAAAATTACCACCCCCACTTAATGTATAATTTCCTATGATTTCAGTATAGGAAAATTTGAAAACTAGCAGTCTAATTTTGTTCTTGGGAACATTCTGGCTTACTTTAAGGAAATCACAGGAATATAGATTGACAGTTGGAGGGGACCTCAGAACTCATTTAATCCAAGTATTTTACAGTTGAGGAAACTGAGGCATAGTCAATAAGCATTTGTTTAAGCCCCTGTTCTGTGCCAGGCGAGAGAATATGTGAATTGCCCAAGGTCAGATGGGAGATATAGAGCTAGAAGGGACCTTTGAGGTCTTCTAGCCCATCCCCCTCCATTTTTTTTTCCAGCAAGGAAGTTGGGGTTGAATGACTTGCCCAGGGTCACATAGCTAGTAAGTATTAAGTGTCTGGTCTGAGCCCAGACTTGAACTCAGGTCCTCCTGACTCCAGGGAAAGTGCTCTATCCACTGCACCACCTACCAGCCCCATCCCCTCTGTTTTACAGATAAGAGAAACTGAGACCCAGAGGAGTTAACTTTAGATTTGCTGAGAGTTATAGTCTGAGTGTCTGAGGTGGGATTTGAACCCAGGTCTTCCTGATTCCAAGCCCAGCATTCTGTCCATTATACCAAGTAACGGGTTCTAGATTTGGACTTGGGTGCTCTGACTCCAAATTCATGACTTTTCCCCCTGCTAATTAAGGTGACAACATGGGTTCAAACCATTTAGAACTCTGCTTAGGCCACACTTAATACCTTGAGGTGCAAATAGACCATAGGAGGCAAGTGTAGAGCCCCTATTTCATTTGTAACCTTTTAAGGTATCACTCTGCTTTGCATTTGATTCAGTAATATTAATAGAAGATTTTTTTTAAGGTTTACATATCACCTTGTCTTTTTTCCTTTCCAACAACCCTATGAGGAAGGGGCTACTATCATTCCCATTTTGAGGAGACTGATCCTGAGAGAATTTAAGGGATTTGTCCAGGGTCCCACGAGATTTGAATCCAGGTCTTCCTGATTTTTTCTCTCTACCTCTCACACTACTCCTGCCTTTCTCTGCCAGCTGCATCTTTCAAAGGGGTCTTTGAGCCTACCTCTGTATAGAAAGCACTGCAATCCATGGAGATAGTCTCATCTTGAAAATTTCATTCTAGTAGGCATCATAGTGCCCCTCACATTCACAGTGACCTGGACAAAGCCGCTCTAGCATTTTGTGTGTGTGTGTGTGTGTGTGTGTGTCTGTCTGTCTGTGATATGTATGTTCATTTTTCAATCATGAAGTCCTAACTGCCTGCTGCCTCTCTTTGTTTAGTTCAGGATAGGGGAGGGTAGGATTTGGGCAGATTTCCTTTTGTGTAGGGGAAAGGGATACTTGGATATTGAAAAAGAGCTGACGCAGGTTCCTGGTTGCAGGCAGACCCGACCTGGACTCATCTTCCCAGCTGGAGTGCTGCCTAAAGGACCTCCTCCCATTTGGACATCTCTCCCTGGGGAGCCAAAACAATGATTGTCCTCAGACCGCTGTCCCTGGAGGCAAAGGCCGGCTTGGCTGCGGCTGGAGTCTTCTTCTCCATCATGGTATCCCGGACCTTCCTGTTGGGAAACCTGGAGATTGGGGTGCGGCGCTGGCTGTTGAGGCTACAGACGGCCCTGTTTGCCAACGTGCTTATGCTGATTGGCTCCGTGTACATTTGGAGGAGAACGGTCACTCCCCTGTACCACTCCCCTGCGGTTGAGTGGAGGTGTTTGTGGCCCTGGAAGGTGGCCATCTTGGCCTTCCTGGGCTTGGCCCACTCTAGCTTTTTCACCATGCTCTTTCTTGTGGCCGAGGAGCCCTACCTGCTCACCATGGTGGCCTACTCTAGCCTTGGTGCTTATATCATTATGATTTTCTTCCTCTTTATCCTTGGTTGCATGGAGCAGGGGTTCCAGCTCTTGGCCTGGAGGGGGGGCAGGGTCAGCAGAAGCATTGATAAGACCAGGAAGACGGTCCTGAAGCCTGTCCTGGCTGTGGCTGTGACCGCCGTGCTCAGTGTGGTTGGGCTTCTCAATGCCGCCCAGCCTCCGGCGGTGAAGACCGTGGAGGTGCCCATTCACCAGCTGCCGCCGTCGATGGACAACCTGAAGGTTGTGCTCCTCTCAGACATCCACCTGGGCCCCACGGTCGGCAGGACCAAGATGGAGTTGTTTGTGCGCATGGTGGAGGCTCTCAAGCCGGACGTCACTGTGATAGTGGGGGACCTGTCTGACGCCGAGGCCTCCGTCGTCAGGACGGCCGTGGAGCCCCTGGGCCAGCTGTATTCTCGCCTCGGCACCTACTTTGTCACAGGGAACCATGAGTACTACACGTCCGATGTCAACAACTGGTTTGACCTCCTCAAGTCCCTGAATGTCCAGCCCCTCCACAATGAGAATGTGAAGATCACCACCTCTGGGACAACGTCAGCGAAGGGTGAAGATGACTGGATCTGCCTGGCCGGGGTGGATGACATCGCGGCGGACACCTTGCATTACTTCGGCCATGGCATGGACCTGAGCAAGGCTTTGGACGGCTGTGGCCCTGACCGCGCCTCTATCTTATTGGCTCACCAGCCCCTGGCGGCCAAGCGGGCCCTTCAGGCCCGGCCAGACATCAACTTGATCCTTTCTGGGCATACCCATGGTGGGCAGATCTTCCCGCTGAATGTGGGCGCTTACTTGCTGAACCCCTTCTTTGTTGGGCTGTACAAAGTGGGGCAGAGTACCTTTGTGTATGTCAGTCCGGGGACAGCCTATTTTGGGATACCAATGAGACTGGGAAGCCGGGCAGAAATTACAGAGATCATCCTTCACTCTCCCTGAACCCGAAGCCTTTTTCTCAACTTCTCTGCCCTCCCCTCACCCATTCCCAATTCAGATGATTTTGTCTGCCTTAACCTGTACTGATCCACCCTCTTTAGCCTTACAAACAGATAGTGGGCTGCTAGCCCAGGTTGAGTTGGAATTGATAATGGTATGATGTCAAGAAATCAGATTTCTTATTTTTCTATGTAAGTGGGGAAGGGCAGGTTGGTTAAATATTTATGGGGGAAAGTCATCTTTTCCTATTTATTTGTTCGGGGCAAGGAGCTGTTTGGAACAGACACACTGTAATGTCCAAGATCTTTAGATGATAGGGGAATGTTGAATATTTAGCAATATGTATTTTTTTCTGTTAGGACTTTCTTTTTCAGGATTTAACTCAAACAGGTTTCCAGGGACTTTCTGATTCAGGACCTTTTTTTTAGAAAGAGTTAGTGGGAAGGCCAAAGAGGAAATAAATAGTCTCTCTTTCCAGTTCCATCCATCTTTCTACCAGCTACTCTGGAAATGCAACTAACACAAAGACAGAAAAAAATCTTGGTTTCCTTATTTTCTATTAAAATCCTGACAGTATCAAATTCTGCCATATAGACCTAGATCTCATAGTCCTCCAAAGTACTTGACTGAAATAATTAACTACCAGCCACCTGTCCTAGAGAGATGTTACCTAATTAACTCTTATCCCTTCAGCTTTTGAAGAAAAACTACATAAAGCCTTGAGTGTTGCAGTTAAAACCTGTTAATAATATGAATACATTTGTATAACTCTTACACTGTATGTAATGGTTCGGCATACCCTTTGTGGTAGGTTGGATGAATGGTAGTCTTCTCATTTAAAGATGGCACCTACCTTCCAGGGTTGGTTGTTATGAGGATAAAATGAAATATTTGTAAAGCTCTTTGCAAACCTTAAAGCACTATATAGATCCTAGTTGTTAGTATTATTTGCAGAAGAGACTGAGGGCTCAGAGAGGTTCAGATGAACCACCCAGGTTCACACAGCTGGAAGATGTGAGGCAGAATTCAGGTACATTGACTGATAGTGCTGGGCACTCTTTCAGTGACCCCAAGCTGCTTTGTATAGCTGGCTGATTCCTACGCAGTATTTAATTTTTGAATTTACCAGAGCTGGGATTCCTTCCTTCCTTGGGACACCCTTTCAAGTTACTAGCAAACTAATTTATTTTGCTGCAGGTTAAATATTCATTGGCTCCATGGCTCAGGAATTGGGGGTAGGGGGCATCTGGTTTCTCAGGGACATGGTAAACTGACAAAGGGGACAGAGTTTGCCTTCCCTCCCCACTTAGCCTCCCAATGATTATTAAGTCAAGACTTGAATATGGTTGTTAGCCACTAAGCAAAGACTCATAGGAAGATGCATAGAGTCCTAGACTTGCAGCTGGAAAATGGACCTTAGTTACTGTACAATCCAGTTTCTTCATTTTATAGATGAGGAAACAGGTCCAGGGAAGTTAATCATCAGAAGTGGCATTTGAACCCAGGACCTTGGACTCCAGAATCAGTGTCATGCTTCTACTCTGGGTGTGAAGAATTCTCCCCAAACTCCAGAGAGATTCTCTGCCCATTCATGTTAGCCTGTCATACCCGGTATGGTCTCCAAATTACCCAGTGTCATTTAAATGGGAGCAACTCTGTACCTTTTGTGGGGCCTTTCCCTTCCATAGCACCCTAATTTTGGAAGAGCCCTCTGTCAGCGATCCAGTGACTTCTGCAGAGGAGGTCTTTACCTGTGCCTGCCCATTTAGGGAATAGCAAACCCAGCAGCACTGGATGGGCTCTGGTCCTGTAAGCCTGGGTAACTAATGATCACAGGCGTGGTGGGCTTCAGACACACGCCCACCGGGCATCTTATTAGCAGTGGACGATCCCAGAGTTGAATTGGAATTGAATAGACTGGGATTTTCACTTACCCATTTATTTTCCTGTTGCTTCAAGGGGACTGGCCCCTTGACAGAGACCATAGGAATTTACCACTATTTGAATGTGCTTCTGAATGGAAGCCCAAAGATACTTTTAAAAGCCCTGTTAACATGGGATCCTTCTCTGAACGTCTAGGATTAGACCTCAGGTACATAAGGAACGTTGGGCAGTTAATCCTGGGGAGAATGTTCTTATTGTGGAGGCCTCTCTATGTGTTAAACAATATTACTTGTATGTATAAAAATACTTTTTGAGTTTGTTTTACTGTATGCAGCTTGATTTTTTAAAAATATCTTCATTGGCCGTTGATGTCAACTGGCCTAATCTGAAAAGGCTTATTTTCTTAATAGATTTCGAGCTGGAAAGCCCTTGGCAGACATCTGGACCAATCCTTTTACTTTAAAGCTGAGGACACTTAAGTTTTTAGAAATGAAATGGCCTGCCCGTAGCCACCCAGATAGTTAAGTGAGAGAGACTAGATTCAAACCCAGGTCTTCTGACTTCAAATCCGACTTTCAGTGCCGTAGGAAGGTGCATTTTTCCCTTTCCTTTTTCTCTCATCTTCTTCCTGTTAGGGTATCACAGTTAGAAAGTAGTATGGTCTGCAATTCTGTTTCCCAACTTGAAACGTCCTAGGGACCAGGAAGGTATCTAAAGTCCCCACTGGACCACTCAGCTCGCCATGGTCTTAGTGTTCAGGCTCTCAGCAGCTGGGAGGAGTAGAGGAGGAGTGAGAGTGGGTGAAGGAGAGGAGGGCAACCAGAGCTGGAAAGAAGCCTGAAGCTAGAGTAGAAAAGAGCCACATGCTAGCAGAGGCTTCAAGAAGTGAGGAGCACTGGTAGGAAGGGGTTGGGGGCCCAATCAGAGTCATTGCTTTCTGTGGAGTAGAAAGAAGACACTACTCAACTCCAGGTAGATACTACCTACAGCCTTCTGGTAATAGAGCAGCAGGTGGGGAGCATGGATGTTGGGTGCGCCCTGTGCCTCAGTTTCCTTCTCAAATGTTACTTTTTAAAGTTTGAATTCAGCGAAGGGATTGTTCCCTTAAGGATCCTTGCAGTTCTAAAATACCATGACTGCTGGATGCTTTTTCTTCTTCTGGTGTGATGTGCCTTGCATATAGTAGGCACTTAATAAATGCTGGCTAATTAATGGGGTGAAGAGTCAGACAACAATTAATTGATCAGCAGCTAGGTGTTGAAATGGATAGAGCATCTGGCCTAGAGTCAGGAAGACCTGAGTTCAAATCCATCCTTAGAGATTAGTTGTGTGACTCTGGGAAAACCCTGTTTGCCTTAGTTTCCTGATCTGTAAAATGGGTGGAGAAGGAAATGGCAAACCATCCCATTCTCTCTTCCAAGAAAACCCCAAATGGGGTCACAAAGAGTCTGACGTGACTGAAATGACTGAACGACCACGACAGATTAATTGATCCATATGTTTGTCATTCTTCAAAAATGTCTAGAATGATAGAATATTTACTTGAGCTTGGCACTAATGTGTGTTACCATGTGCAGGGTTGAGACCATCTACGTCCTTGGCAGAGCTTACTGTTTCAAAAGGAGATTGGATCTGCATGAGGGCACATATAATAAACATAAGTGATTTCAGCCATTAATAAGTATATCTATGTGGGTTTTCTTAAAGTGATGAAGGTATTTATTACTTAGTTCTTCCATGGAATTCTAGTCCTAAAAAGGGCTTTTTGGGATGTTCTTTTTTTTTTTTTTGGCAATTGGGGTTAGGGTCACACAGCTAGTAAGTGACAAGTGTTTGGTCTGAGGCTGGATTTGAACTCAGGTCCTCCTGACTCCAGGTTTGGTGCTCTATCCACTACACCACCCAGCTGACTCCTTTTGGGATGTTCTTGTCCAGCATCCTCCTCTTACAAATGAGGGAATGAGGGGCTAAAGAGATAAAAATACCAGTGTGGGCACCAGGTAGTGTTTGTTTTCAGCAGTTATCCCTTGTATTTTGTTCCTTTCCAAGCATTTGTGCCTGGCTCGGTCTCCTAGGAGTGCCCAGTTAATTGTGCCTCTCTACATGGCTGTTAGTTCCTTGCATGTTCTTGAATCAGAATTTTACACATGGGAGGGACTATAGGGGTCTTTTAGTCTAATCCATAGTTCATCAGGCTTCTTTGTAACATTTAAGATGAGGTCATCCCAACTCCGGTGGTCAGCTTGACATCCTGCCCACTACTTCCTTAAAAAATTAATAAAGAAAAAAACTTTTGAATCCCAAATTCTTTCTCGCTTTCCAGCCCCTCCTCCACCTATTGAGAAGGCAAGTAATATGATACCCATGATACATGTTGAAGTCACGCAAGACGTATTTTGGTGGTGCTCACCACTTCCAAGACCCAGTTATTGCACTCTTGCCGTCTGGCCTTTACAAGATCAAAGAAAACCATAATTATGAGGGACATGTAGTCCAATCCATACTTGAATGAGAATTCATTCTCTGTCACACCAGTACAAGAAAGGAATCTCACCCGACAAGTTCTGATGACCCCATTCCCTTGGAGATCTCTGGTGAGGAGGAAGTGATGATCTCCCTGAGTGCCCTTTTTCCATGCTGGACAGCTCTCAGTGTTAGGAAGCTGTTTCTCACATCCCACCTAAATTAGAATTTTTTACAACGTCCATCCATGATTACCATCCATCCGTGGTTACTGGTTCTACCTCGAGACCAAGGGGAAGAACACTAGCCCCTTTAAGTACTTGAAGATGGCTCCCATTCCCCTCCGCCCACAGTCCCCATTTGAGTGCGCTCGGCTTTCTATGCTCTTCTGCCGTTGCAGGGCCTTTTTAGCCTTCCCCTTTTTTAACAGTACTGGCTTTTGTCCCCTGTCTCCTCAGAGGAGTGATATTAACCCATTTTCTTTGATCTTGCTGCCCTTTAACTCTGCTCCTTCCTTGTCCTCACTTATACTTTCCTTTGTAGCATTTACCTTTTAGATTCCTCTACAGATTTCATCAGCTTATCACTTCAGCTTATCACTTCATCAGTCATTCCTATATATGTTGAGAAATGCATTTCAGATGTTCATCTCAAGGGTGCCTCAGGAGACCCCCTCATGGTAGTCATCTCTTTAACTGCAGGAGGCCTCAGTTGAACCAGTTGTCCTGAAATTCGTCCTTTCTCAGGTTCATGCCTTTGTGGAAAAAAGACATCATGGGATTTGGGGGGGGGTAGTGTTTGTTAGGCCTGATGGCTGTGATGGATGCACACCTTCCTTTTTATTCCTCTGGTGAGTACAAGAGTTGGTTTTAGGGGTGGGGATCCTGGGCTGGTTTAAGTGATTGTCTCCAGGGTCCCTCTCAAATCTAGGATGCTATGGCTTTATGGGCAACTTCTGTCAAGCCACCTTCCACCTTCTTCCTCCATAATTTTTCCCTCTTTCCCCTTGGTTACGAGAACCAGCATACTTCACACACAAGTTTCATGGAATGACCCAGAGATGACCCAGGAGTCATTGTGTCCCACAAGCCATTTTCTCCATTAGTCCCATTTACCTTGTACTTACCAGGTTCAGTCTGATGGTGCCTCCCTTCTGGCTTTTGAACAGCTCATAGGAACTTTCTTTAGTAGTCATGCCAAAATAAATCTTTCTCCTTCATCTGTGACCCAGGTAATCCTGGCATGGCCTTATTCCCTTCTGGGTCTTTGTGAAATGTCTACTAAGTTTAATGTTGCCATCCTCCCTCCACCTTTCTGCCCACTAAAATTCTATTCATCTGTCATGCGTGACCAGCTCATATCCTGCCCTCTCTCACAGGCCTTTCTACCCAAGAGTCAACTCCTGCGTAGAACCAGACTTCTTCCTCCTTGGTGTTCTTCTAACTCCTCCCTCTTTTTTGCACTTGGTGAATATTTAGCATAGTGCCTTGCATGTAGTAGGGGCTTAATGTTTATTGATTTGACATTCCATATTTTATTTTCTGACAAACTGTTTTATTTTCCTTACTAGAAGCCTCTTGAGATCAAGGGCCGTGTTTTAATCATCTTTGCATCCCCTTCAGTACTTCCCCTGGGTGTTTTTCCATGTAATTAATTCTCTTGAATTAGAGGAATTATGGGATGGTAATCTTACTATATTTAGAAGTGAAAGTAGCCCAGGGGCCATCTAGTATATCCTCATTTAACAAATGAACAAATAGAGATTTAAAGAAGAGGGTGTGGCCTTATAGGAGTGCCTTCCTGTGGCTATAGGAATATCTAACCTGAACTCCATACCAGAAGAGGGCTCATCGTGGGGAAGGGGTGGATGTAGTCATTGATTTGGAGCCAAAAGGGACCTCAAGGGCCAGCTGGTTTAATCCCTTTATTTTTAACAGATGTGGTAACAGGTCAAGTTTCAGAGGTGAGAGTCAAACCCACATCCATCCTCTTTCTTCCTGGTCCTCCTTCATCTTAGTGCCTTCCTTCTGAGACTACTCTTGACTTCTCCTGTGTATATGTTGTTTGTAACCTCAAATGGAGTCACAAAGAGTCAGGAATAACTAAAAAACAACTGTACAACAGCAAACAGTTGTATGCAGGTTGTCTCCCCCTATTAGACTGAGAGCAGGGATGGTGTTTTTGGTTTTGTTTGTTTGTTTGTTTGTTTTGGCTTTTATTTGTACCCCAGTGCTTAGCATGGCGATTGGCATGTGGTATGTGCTTCATAAATGCTTGTTGCTTGGATTAACTCTAGAATCAGTACTCTTTCTCCTGTACTAGATTCCTTCTTGGCTCCACTGTGAAGTGGTCTTTGGGATCACTTGACACACCCCGATGGTTTGAACCTCTTGAGAAACCCTGACACATTTCCAGATCTTTCCAATGGAGCATTAGCATGGTAGCTCATTGGAGAGACTAGGGAAGTCAAATATGGAAATGTTAAAAAAAAAACCCAGCATGTTGGCCAGCAGGTGGCAGTGTTTTGTAGGAAGTGGAGCTCTGGGCTTCGAGTCTGAGGACCTGGCTTTGAATTCCACCCCTGTTATTTGACTGCTCTGTGATTCCTCATCTGTGAAATGGGAGTAACAGGAGATAATAGGTTATCTCTAGGGCTGTTAAGAGGATTCAGTGAGATGATGTATGCAGCACACTTTGCCACCCTCAAAAATGCTCTCCATAAATGGTAACTATTATTAGGTGATAAGTTTCTGACCATACTAACCCATCAAATATAGCTCTTTCTTGACAGACTAGTAGCTCAGATTCTCTGTCAATCATCAGCAAGCATTTAATGGGTGCCTACTATATACCAGGACTGTGTATGCTGTGGGAGTAGAAAGTCACAAAGAAAAAAAAGACTGCCCCTGTCCTCAAGTAGCTTCCATTCCAAAGGATTCTCTGAAACCTTGCAGCTGAGGTTACTCACATGAAGGACTCTTAGTGAAGTCTCAAGGCCATGGGGAGGGCTTATACCCAGTACATAACTGTGGAACTTGAGGGTGGCATGGCACACATCCCTCGTAACCATAGATCTCATGGCATGAAGCCTAAGTTGCTGCTATTAATGTTCTCACATGCTCTAGAAAATATCTGTTGTGATTATATTGTGCTGTAAACAGTTGCTTTTCCTTTCTCGCAGTCCTGAAATGTGCACAAATAATGTAACAAGAGCTGAGGCAAAGGGTAGAAAAATGGAGGGAATCTTCATAGATCCCCATTATGTGAATTGAATGTTATATGCAGTGTTTTAGGAAGGATTGTTGTCAGTGACTGTTGGAATATTTCAGCAGGAGAGATAACTTTGAAAAAGACAAGAGCAGTTAAGAAGCACTTATTTTATTATATGTCCACTGTGAGTTTCCACCTCTTCTGTTGCGTTAAGGAGTATTTATATCATGTCCATGTGAGGGATGATGATGGGGTCTGTGGTACGTATGTGTTTTGCTTTGCACTGAATTATTTCTGTAGCTAATGAGTTTTTCTGGAATCACATAAGTTGTAAACACTAGAATCTCAACAACAGCCAGACACTGCATTCTGATTATGAAATAAAAATGTCACACTTGGATTAACATTTCAGTGCTTGTGCCAGTTAATTTATTTGATTTTCCCCTGCAGATTGCTTGCCTAAGGCCCAAATATTTACCCAGTAAATCTTATCTCCTGGTCTGAATCCCTACCACCTGTCCCTGACTTATTTCTGGCCTTCACACCAATTTTTTTGTTTTTTTAACAGTAACCTGTATGTGGAACATGACATTCATTTTCAAATGTTCCTTCTCCCTTTATCCCATTAATGATGGGAGCTCAGGGCATGTGGTATAGCCATTACTATACTGTACTTATAGCTGGAAGACCTAGCTTCAAACCGTGTCTGAGATACTCTATGACCCTGGCCAGTCACTTAATTCAAGTAAACCTCAGTTTCTTCAACTGTGAAATGGGTGTGATAGCTCCTATCTTACAGTGCTGTTGTGTATAGATTTTTGTGAACTGTACTTACATAAATGTGAACTATTATATTATTCTTTTGAGATGTTTTAATATCTATCCTCCCTTCCTATTGTCACCATCCCAGTCCAAGACTTTATTTTTTCTACCTTGATTATTTTAATTGCTTATTAATTTCCTCTTTCTACTCTCTGATTCACAATTCACCAGATGGTCAGTCTTCCAGAGAGAGAGATAGAGACAGATAGACAGAAGCACTCTTGAAGGAAATACAAGAAAGTATTTTGTGGCCTCTGGCATCAGGGTGTTTATACTCTAAATGGGAAGAAAGAACCTTCACACATGAAGATTACAAGAACTCAAGACAATATATTGCTCCACAATATATTGAGGTTCAGTCACTTGGACCAGCAGTATCAGGAAAATTTCATGAGATGCAGTCAGAAGGCCTGCCATTTACTAGCTGTATACCCAGGGAAAGTAAGAGGTGGCCTTGTACTCTTACAGGCAGCTTTATGAGGTCGTTCAGTGTTTTCCTGAGCAAAGCTGTGTTGTGCACAGCTAACTCAGCTCACCACAAGAGCAAGGATCCTATACTAACTCTGAAGGGATGAGGCCAGCTTAACCTTCTGTCTCGAATGTGCATTGATGAGGCGGGAGACAAGATGGAAGCAACTCCGTTTCATTTTAACAAAGCATTCACTTAAGTAGTAAGGTAACAGGAACTTCTCAGGTTACAATGACGTAGAGCTCATGCTGTGCTAAGGACAGTGCATTCACATCCTGTGCACTTATCTGACTCCAATCACAGATAAACTGCTAATGACCGTACAATAACGAGGGGAGTTAAAGATTGTTAAAGATCCATAGAATGGAGCACCCAACCAGGTGACCTTTGCTCATGGATCAGTCACCCGAGAGGGCCTCCGCCCATCATTGAGATCTCATGAACAGCCTGTGGCCCTCTACATCCTTACACATCCCCAACAAAGCTGGGCTTGTCAGGTCCATGATTGTGTGGAACAAGGACAAACCCCAAGACTCATTTGCTTTGAATTTCTCAGAATCATACCAAGCAGTGGTGGACATAGTCATTCAGGAAGGACACAAGAAGACCTCTGCATTCCACTGTATCGTGCCCCCATGATTTGTCTGACTCAATGAAATAAAGCCACCTTCATCCAGACCTAGTAAGACCTCCAGGTAGTCTGTGGCCATTAGGGGCAATATGGTGGCTTCATAAAGAGCAACTTCTTTGAATGAATGCACCAATCTGAGCTTAAGCAAGCCCCAGGAGTTGTGACTCTGATTAAAATCATGAGTAGATCAAATAAGGGATGGGTAGGATTCCTTTGGAGTTGGGGGCTGTGCTTAGGTGCATTCACTGATCCCTCTGGTGTTTTGGTTTTCATGTTCCCCCTTTTCACCATCCGAGGGCAGACACCCAGTCTAACCAGCCCCATTAAAGGCAAAAGGGGAAAAAAATTCCAGTTACAGTGACTTTGAAGCCAGAGCATATTCTGGCTAAATTCTGCTTATTAAAAGACCCATAATACCTGTGTGACCTTGGACAAGTCACTCAAGCTTTATTTTATACATCAGATGTGCTGTGAGTATAATTTGGAAGTGATTTAACTGACACCCAGTCTTATGCAGCTGCTGATACTTGTGCTTTGGATGTGGCTGGAAGCATCCCAAGGATACTCCCAAATGGTAGAACCCACCTTTTTAAAAAATTGCAGGACCAATTTAAAGAAATCCCCATTGCCCTTTGTCAAGGAGACTGATGATTTCTGACCCCTCCTCCTGGTCTACTTGGCCTTTCTTGACGCAAACACGAATGCTGAGATGCCATCTAGATATGGCAGCCAAGAAAGTCAGTCTGACCCTGGGCTCCAGTTAAGAGGTGTATTTGATTCTGTTAAATTTAACATATTTAAATAATAAATACATTTAACATTTAATATGTTCAGTAGTTCAGTTTTATATACAAGCCTCTTTTTCTTTTTGTCATACATGGAAATATTGAGATCTCTTGATTTTTAAACTCATAATTTAAAAAGGTGGAAAATACCTAGAGAAATGTCATTTCCAAGAATAGAAAGGTGATAATTTTCCTCAACTTTTTTCCTGTTGGTGTGGTCTGGGGGCTGTAATTTAGGAAGGACGTTAATAGGCTTCTAGAATAGGGTTACCAGCATGGTGAAGAGTCTCAGTTTCATGCCCTGTGAAAATTGATTAGAAAAACTGGTGGAATACTGGGTAGAGGGGGACATCGTGGCAGTCTTCAGTTTTTTGAAGGGATGGGATGGCAAAAAGCGGTCAGAGTTGTTCATTTTGGCCCCAGACAGTGAGACCTAGAAATAGAGGGGGGAAGCTGCCAAGAGGCTTGAGGTAAGGGGGATCAGATTGCCAAGGCTCAGATAGCCAGTAGTGGGAGGGGGCTGCTCCAGGAGGAGGTCTGGGCTTCTTCCTCATTTTCAGGCCTTCGAAGCAAAGGTTGGTTGACATTGATTGGGTAGGTCACAGAGGGAATTCTGGTTCAGTTATTGATGAGGCTAGAATCGAGAGGTTTATAACTTCTGGGTTGTGAACTTTAAAAAATATTTTATTTTGAGTATTTCAGTAAATGAATTTCTTATGTATTTTATGTTGTGCATTTAAAAATCACTAGGCTGATTGTTGAAGCAGTCCAGGACTCAAAAAAATTTTTTTAGAACCCTTAGGGACTCTAGTTTCTGGGATTCCGTAATTCTGCTTTTCTCCACTAGAGGACAATAGTACCTTGGCTGTATTCTCTGTCTCAGGGAGGGTAACAGGATACGTCTCACTTCATCTTCATCATTTTCTCCTTGGGCCATGAGTATGACCTAGATAGTTACTGAGCAGAGGTCTCACAGTGACAGGGATATTTGCCTGTGGTTTCTCTTCTCATAGGTCGTAGGATTTGGAGCTGGAAGGGACTGTAAGAGGCTTACCCACTCCATTTTCTTCATTTTGGAGATGAAGAAATAGAAGATTTGAGTTTAAATCCTGCCTGTTGCTATCTGTGAGGCCTTGGGCAAATTACTTAACCGCTATGGGCCTGTGTTCCTCACTTGTAAAATAAAGGGGTTGGTCCCTTTATAACCCCTTTGTATAGGAACAGATCCCTACAGGCAGCACATTGACTTAGAACACCACAAATTAGCGTTATGGTGTGTTGTATTTTTATTTATTTGGTTAAACATTGCCCAGTTACATTTTAATCTGGTTCCTTTTATCTGGTATCTGAGGTCCCTTCCAGCAATAAATCTCTGATCCTGTGTCCTGTGGTACCTCATATAGCTAGTTATGTGCCAGAGATGGAGTTTGGACTCATATCATCCTGAGTCTAGATTTGGCTCCTAATCATAGGGTCCTGTACGTGCTTCCCATCTGCAGATACGATTTGAGTAGCGTGGATACTCTTACCCAATACCACAAAGGATGAGAGGCCTTTCTGCCCTTTGGTCTCAGTGGGCTGTTTTATCATTCTAGTTTTGTGTCGGTGTGTTCTGTAGCTTGGAGAGAAACTATAGGGAAAAAAAAATCATATCGTTTAGTTATTTAAGCTTGTTGCAGATTACAGATAAATGTGGTATTTTTAGATAAAGGTCCCTTTGTGATTTTATTCCAAGCTCCCAATGGCTTCTGCCAACTCCAGCAGGTGGAGCAGTGAGGCAATTCTGACGGAATCTTGTCTAAGAATGACTGAATGTACAAATTCACACACACGTTCGTTTTGTTGTTTTATACAGGCCAACAGAACCTTTAAGATAGACTACAATGGGGACCAGTTCCTCAAGGATGGCCAGCCGTTCCGCTACATCTCTGGGAGCATCCATTACTCCCGCATACCTCGGTTCTACTGGAAGGATCGTCTTCTCAAGATGAAGATGGCTGGGCTCAACGCCATCCAGACGTGAGTCACTAAGTACTTCTAAGGTTGGAATTGGGAATGAAGGCTGGCCTTGGGATCCCATCCCACTGGAAGTAAGTGGTCCTAAAGTCTCCCCATCAGCACCTGAAAAGAAGGGTTGATTGGGCAAGAGTATGGCTTACCAATGCAAGTAGGGATAGGAGTTTTTTGAGGGGTATGTTTTGTTTTTTGTGGTCAACTACCTCTCATTATCTCAAACGTTAGTAACTAGACCTTCATAATATTGTTGTGGTTATTATTATTTTGGTCCAGACCTGTGATCTTATCAGTGTTGGGAATTCCCAGTGTATGAACTCCATCCACCAATGTACTTTCCTGCTACTCATCCTAGAAAGTTGCCTGGGCCCCAGGTTAAGTGACTTGCTCATGGTCACACACAAGAGAAAAAGGAAGTTAGCATGTATCAGAGATGGGACGCAAGTACAGGTCTTCCCTGACTCCAAGGCTGGTGCTGGAATGTTAGCTTCTCTCTTTGTGTCCTTGGACAGTGCTGACATGTAGGTGCTTAATAGTGGATTGTTATTTTTATTGTCTAGACCTGATACATCTCTACCACTTTGGTTTTTCTAGGCTATTTGGGAAAATTGCTCTTGAGGTGAGGAGAGATGTTTCCCACCTCTCATTTGCCCTTATCCCCTTTCTTTCCTCTTAATCTATGACTAACCAGGTCACCACCTCCAGAGAAGGCTTTCGTGGAGATATTTCCTTCATCCCTATTAATTACTTCTTCTCTTAGTATAGTGCTTAACAGAGCAGGAAGCTCAGCTGAAATATCTGCCCTGGCTTTTGCAGAGCTGATTATCAGCATTGATGATTTTTAAAGATATGAAAAAACCCAGAGGCTGGTGGTGACGGAGATAATTCACTGGAGAAAGCCCTGCATCCGATGAATCACCCACCTCTGTGACCTTTGTACAAAGAGACAAGAGGCCGAATGACCTCGCTGTCCGTAGCCATTAGATGCTATGTGGTTTAGGCATTCCTTGGCCAAAGATTTCAGGCTTCTTTTCCTCTTCAAACTCAGAACCAAGGAGCAGGAAGTACCCTCAGGAATTATGAAGGCAGCTGTGTGGTACAATAGATAGAATGCCAGATTTGAAGTTTGGAAGACATGAGTTCAAATCCTGTCTCAGACACAGTGATCTTCAGCAAGTCACTTGACTGCCCCAAGTCTCAGTTTTTATATCTGTAAAATGGTCATTATAATAGCACAACAATCGCAGGATTGTGAGGACCAAGTGAAATAAGGTTTGCAAACTTTGAAATGCTAAGTAAATGCTCACTATTATTACTACTACCAATACTAATGATTTCAGGCTTTTTCAGTCGTATTCGACTCTTTGTGACCCCATTTGGGGTTTTCTTGACAAAGATACTGGACTGGTTTGTCATTTCCTTTTCCAGCTCATTTTATAGATGAGGAAACTGAGGCAAATAGGGTTAAGTCACTTGCTCAGAGTCACACAGCTTGTAAGTGTCTGAGGCTAGATTTGAACTAATAATAATAATAACAACAACAAATTATTCTCATAGTTAACACATTAAATTGAAATGATGTGGTTTGAGAGGTTCAGGAACTCCTTAAGGACCAGAGTACAGGACAGGATCTGGAATGAATTCATGGACTCAGGCATTCTTTAAGTCAAGTTGGCAAAGGTTTATTATTACACTATTCAGTGAGCAAAAGTTCTTAAGGCACCTGTGGCCTTAGAGGGGGACATAAAGTTTATATAGAATAAACTATATGTGCCAGATGTGCTAACTAGGTGATTCAGAGCAGGGATTAGGAAGTGATTAAAGAGTGGTCAGTTCTTAAAGGTAAATGCACTTTTTGTATCTACTGTGCAGGTGTTTTACCCAGAGTTCACCAGGAAAAGCCCAAGGGGGTGGGGGGGTTAACAGGGAGGTGTGGTTTTTAGGTCTGCTCAGTTAATTAGTGCTCAGGGCAAACTGAGGGTTGCCCAATCTACTGCCAAACAATGTCTTGTTTGGCAAGATAGATGTAGGGAGTCTATCTATCTATCTATCTATCTATCTATCTATCTATCTATCTATCTATATGGCTTAAGTCTAGGATATACATGAGGAGTCCAGGATGCAGATAATGAAGTAGGGAGTTAGTATAGATAGTCCGGTGGGTACCAGTATCTTTTATGAGCCAGCACAAAGCCATTTCAAACTCATAACTTCTACAAGTGTGGTTTGTAACTGCACCAGGGAGAGAGATAAGTGTGTTGCTGTGGCTCACTCATGAGTAATTGTTAGGCATAGTGTCCACGGGCTGGGGAGAAACTGCCACGGATAATGTTTCTGAGGCTAGGGAGAAATATGGTCTTGGAACTGGGATCTGAGTACAAGCACCCAAGCACTCCATCAATACTACACGGAACCTTGAAAGACGTTTGCTAAATCAGAGGTGGGGAGCCTGTTGCCTTGAGGCCACATTTGGCCTTCTGACAGAGTCCAAGTTTTATAGAACAAGTCCTTTTGTTAAGAGGATTTGTTCTGTGAAGTCTGGATTCAGTCAAAGGGTCGCACTTGAGGACCTAGAGGGCCACATGTGGCCTTGAGGCCCCAGGTTCCACACCTCTGTGCTAAATATTTGGCCTAAAAATACCAAAATCCTTAAGACATTAAAAAAAAGAAAATGAAACCAATGAGGTCCTTAGTTTCTTCATTTATATAGTAACTTGTACTAGATGCTGTCTAAAGACACTTCCAGTTCTAAATCCTGTCATCCAGTGGAATGAAGCTAATTTGCAATATTCTTACGTCCTCAGTTGTTGGTAGATGCCACAGGCACTTGTAATTTTGAAGGATTGGCACTAGGTGGCAGCATTTTGTGAGTATGGTTATTATCTGCTTTGAGTTTCAGTGCTATGGATGCTATGGAAATAATCATTGAGGCCTTTCCTGCAACAAATAATTGATAAGATTGAGTGCATTTTAGGTGCTTCCTCTAGGTTTGCAGCTGTGTAGGCATTTATGTACTTTATTTAAGAAGTCATGTTGGCATTTCAGAGGCATGCATAAAAATAATATAATAATAGCTAGCATTTATGTAGCGCATGCTTTAGACACATCATCATAGCTTCACAGCAACCCTCAGCCCTGGAAGGTAGGGGCTAATGTTATCCCCGTTTTACAGATGAGGAAACGGAGGCAGGCAGAGGTTAAATGACTTACTCAAGCTCATACAACTGGCAAGTATCTGAGGACAGATTTGAACTCAGGTCTTCCTGACTACAGGTCCAGCACTCTACCCACTGCCCCACCTAGGTGCCTTCCAATTCTGAATGAATGTACTGAATGAACAATACATCTCTAGCAGGGTTTCTACTTCTAGAGCAAATCTAGTTTCTTCTCTAAAATGAACTTTTTTGTTTTTTTGGTGAGGCATTTGGGGTTAAATGATTTGCCCAGGGTCATACAGCTAGTGAGTGTTATGTGTCTGAGGCTGGATTTGAACTCAGTTCCTCCTGACCCCAGGGCCAGTGCTCTATCCACTGTGCCACCTAGCTGCCCTGCCTTTTTTTTTTAAACCTTTCCCTCCAACTTTATTTTATTTATTTATTTTTTGCTAGGCAGTGGAGTTAAGTGACTTGCCCAGGGTTACACAGCTAGTAAGTGTTATGTATCAGAGGCAGGATTTGAACTCGGGTCCTCCTGAATCCATGGCTGATGCTATATCCACTGCTCCACCTAGTTACCCCCAACTTTATTTTTTTTAAAAGAGAAACAAATCATTTTATTTTCTTGTGCTAGTAGTATTTTTCCCAATTACATGTAAAAATAGTTTTCAACATTCATTTTTACAAGATTTTGAGCTCCAGATTTTTCCCCCTCCATCCTTTCCCTCCCCCTCCCCAAGGCAGCAAGCAATCTGATATAGGCTGTACATATACAATCATGTTAAACATATTTCCACATTAGTCACGCTGTGAAAGAAGAATTAGAACACAAGGAAAAAACAATGAGGAAAAAAACAAAAAACAACAGCATAAAGTGAAAACAGTGTGCTTTGATCTGCATTCAGACTCCATAGTTCTTTCTCTAGGTGTGGATAACGTTTTCTATCACCAGTCTTTTGGAATTGTCTTATTAAAATAGTTTTCTTTATGAAAGCTGAAGGACTATAACATGGAGCAAGATTTAAAAGAAAAACAAACATCTACGTATCACTTTTAGGATCTGGATTCCTTCTTGTAGGAAGTTTTAGGCTTCTTGTCTTGAATACAAGATGCTTTTCTAATTAAGCACTCCCTTCTCTGTTCTTTTTTTTTTTTAACTTATTAATGCTTAAGCAAAAGTCTTTATCGACTTTGTCAAATGCTTTAGAAGAAAATGTTCTTGTCTTGCCAGATATGTGCCCTGGAACTTCCATGAACCCCTTCCTGGAATGTACCAGTTCTCTGGCGATCGTGATCTGGAGTATTTCTTACAGCTTGCTGATGAGATTGGACTATTAGTTATACTGAGGCCAGGACCTTACATCTGTGCAGAGTGGGACATGGTAAGTGATTCCTGAAGGTGGTTTCTGTCCTTTGGTGCTGAATTACATATGTAGTTGTGTGTTTTCTTTTGCAGCATGGCTAATATGGAAATATTTTTTGCATGACTACACATGTATAATCTACATCAAATTGTTTGCCTTCCCAAGGAGTGGGGAGGAGAAGCAGGAGGGAGGAATTCAAAACTTAAAAATATTAATGTTAAAAAATTTTTACATGTCATTGGGAAGTATTTAACAAAAATAGATAAAAATATAGTAAATGAATGACATGTATACTCTTGCCTGGCAGAAGTTAAGCTTCCTTTCAGCAAATGGATGGATGCCTGTGTTGAAGATAGAATGAGGAAAGGAAACTGGGAAAAGTGGATTGGATTTCTTATTATACTTCCCTTCATTTAAATTGCGGGCAAGCCTAATAAGAAATGGCCCCTTCTTTCTAACAGTTTAGGTTATTAAAGTTTCCTAGCAATTCTGGGAAGGTAGCTATTATTACAGGTATGATTGTCCCCATTTTCACAGATGAGGAAACTGAGGTCCAGAGAATGTTAAGTGACTTGCCCAGTGTCACACGACCAATATGTGTCAGAATAGGAATTTGAAACCCAAGTCTTTCCTATCCTAAGCTCAGGACACTATCCGCTTTTCCCTGTTGCCTCTTAATAAACAGTTTAAAAATTATCCTAGAAAAGCATATGTATTCATAAGAGGTTATCTCATTGGAAAAAGTCTTACTCTAAGGAAGGCTTTCTGTTATTTTAATTTTACAAAATGGGATTAAAATGGTTCTTCCTCAAGACACATAGTGCCTAAATAATGTTCATAAAAGAATGGTAAGAGGAAGCTGAGCTCTTATCTTGGCCCTGGAAAACAGCTAATGAAACACAACTTTCTTTTCCCTGGGCAGAGGGGTGGAGGACTCACATTCTTCGATGTTTTCACTTAGCTATTTATCTTTGTTTCTAGGGAAACATCAGTGCTTGGGGTTGTAGGGGTAGGAGAGGAGGGGTCATAGCCATAAATAACTGATTTTAAAAACAAAAACCATCAATACATCTTTTTAAAAAAAATAATTCTCTTTTCCCCCTCCTACCCTAGGGTGGCTTGCCTGCTTGGCTGTTAGAGAAAAAGTCTATTGTTCTCCGTTCTTCTGATGTTGGTGAGTTGCTACCATTTGATAAACACATTGTTGATAGCCACAAGAAAAAAAAAGTAATTTCAGATGTTTTGATAGAGCAAGGTAACATTAATCTTTTTAGAAGCTTAGTAAATTTGAAAAGTTAGTTATAACCAGGCTCTAAATTCTCCCTAGATAAGGGCCTCTTCATGCTCTTTTGTGTGTATCATAGAGCCCTTTGGTAATTTGGTGAAGCCTATAGACCCCTTCCGAGAGTAATGTGTTTAAATGCATGCAATAAAAGCATAAGATTACAAGGAAACCAACTGTGTTTAGATACAGTTAATAAGTACTCTCGAAACAAGCTTTTAGACCCCAGTTTAAGAAACCCAGCTCTGGATAAAGTATAGAATAAGTTTCACCAAAGATGATAGTATCTACAATATTTGGCCAGATGCCAATAAGGAAACTCCCTCTATGTTGGTAGAGGGCATCTGTGGTACTCAGAGGACCACACAGTCAGTATCTCTTAGTGGTGAGATGTGAACCCCTGTCTTCCTGACCTCAGGACTGGGCCAGCTTTCTCTCTACTACAGATTATGCCACCTTGCCTATCTGGCATTTACATTTGCCATTTACTCTTATCACAGAGCTAATAGAATCATTGTCTCCATCCCTCTGTGTGTCTCTCTCTCCCTCCCTTTCCCCCTCCCCTTCTTTCTCTCTCCCACTCCCCTTCTTTCTCTCTCTCCTTCCCTCTCTCTCTCTTCCCATCCCCCTTCCCCCCTCTCTTCCTCTCCCACTCCTTCCCTCTCTCTCTCTCTCTCCTCTTTTTCTCTCTTTCCTCTTTCCTTTCTCTGTCTTTGTCTTTCTCTTCTTCTATCTTTTCTCTGTTTCTTATTTTCTCTCTTCCTTTGTCCTCTCTCTCTCTCTCCCCTTTTCCCTCCATCTGTCCTTTCTTTCTCTGTCTCTCTCTGTCCTTTCTCTCATTCTCTCTCTCCCTCTGTCCTTTCTGTCTCTCCCTTTCTCTTCCTCTCCTTTCTCTCTTTCTCTATCTCTGTGTCTGCGTCTCTCTGTCCTTTCTCTCCTCCCTTTCTCTTCCTGTCCTTTCTTTCTTTCTGTGTCTGTCTCTGTCCTTTCTCTCTCATTCTCTCTCCCTCTGTCTTTTCTCTCTCTGTTTCTCATTGACTCCATCTGTCTGTCCTTTCTCTCTACTCTCTGACTCTCCTCCCTCCCCAAATGTCTACTTCACTAAGAGAAAGTCGTTTCTTAGGCATTAGCAAGATCAGGCTAATGAAGTCAATGGTGGAAACTTAGGTAGTGTTGATATCTGGGGTGGTAACAGTACCTCCTATTTCTTTGGCAACTTTCAGCGTAATACTTGACCCTGAACCCATAATGCTATTTGTGTTCATTCCACCCAACTGGTGATGGTTATATTGGTATGCAGAATAACCAGGGATGAATTTTCATGAGCCATTTAACTGCTTTTTCATCCTCAAAGGCTCAAGTTCCTGATCGATAATGGATAATGACTTTGGTACATTATTAAGGAGGAGACCTAATGTTTCTATGTCAGTTTAAGGTTTACAAAGCTCTTTTGCATGTTATGTTGTTTAATCCCCACAACAACCTTGGGACATGTGCTATTCATATGCTCCTTCTATAGATGAGGAAACTGAGGATGAGAAAATATAAGTGACTTGCCCAGAGGTCCATAGTAAATGTCTGAGGTGAGATTTGAAAACAACATTCTATTCATTGTGCCACCTAGTTACCTCTCTCTATATTGTATGTGCCCACACCCACACCCACTAATATATGTGTGTGTGTGTGTGTGTGTGTGTGTATGTACATGTATATATATATGTAGTATACACACAGACATACACACATAGAAATACATATATATATATATGTACACATGTATATGCACATACATATACAGTGTATGTACATAGAGACATGCAGGGGTGTGCTGGAGCCGTCTCGTAGTGGCTCATAAGAGCTGATTGTTAAATTTTCAGTGTTAGCATTTACCTTTTAAGCTTCAGAAATCATCAAGTGGTCCAATTTGGGGCTTGATTTATTATTATATTTATTTTGTCTAGACTTAAGTGATGTTAATAGGGCATATTAAACATAAAAGTGTGCCGTGTCTACTTCCTCCCCCTCCATTGGAGAGCTGATTGTTAAACATCTAGCACATTGCTGCTATATGTATATATACACATATATGGTGGGTGGGGAAAGAGAGAGAGGGAAGTAGAGAGAGAGAGAGAGAGAGAGACAAAGGGAGAAAGAGAGAGGAGGGAAAGAGAGAGAGGGGAAATATTAATTGGATCTTAATGGGGGTAGGGAGAGATAAGCAGGACAAGGGAGGGGACTTAACATTTACCTACTTCATAGGGTAAAGTTAAGCTTTTGTTAAACGACATTGCTATTTCTGGGGACATGATTTGACAGTGGTATATTAAAAATTCCCCAAATAACCAAGCCCTGTTATAACACACTTCTGGTCCTGCTCCAGGACATTGTAGTGACCCTGTGTTCCTTTTTTATTTAATGTTTTCTTGATTTTTTTTCTTTCATATTCTCACTCCCCAGTAATAATCCCCCAACCCCAGCCCACGTAAGACCTTCTCCACCTGTAACAAAGAAGGAACATTAAGCAGAACCCTCTAAACTTGTGCCAAAGGGGACAAGCTCTGGCAGATATTACCTAGATGCGGAAAGGCTTAGGAGTAGGGGCCCCATGATGGACTTTCATTCATCACCAGATTGGCCACAGGGTGGTCAATGTCACTGAAAAGATCTTGTGTTATGAATTTAACAAACATGAGCAGTTATGAACATTTTAGGATACAAAGGGCAGAAAAGAAGATAATATATGAAATGGTGAAATTCTATTTCACACATTATGGTTTTTGTGTTAAAAAAAATTAATGGCTTAACAAAATTGTTCCACATGTCTGTGTCCCCTTTCTGAACTTCTGACTGCTCTTATTATCTGTTTGTTCATATCTCATATTTTTCCTTCCCTTCCCTTCCCTTCTTTCCTGTCTTCTTTTTTCTTCTTCTTCTTTTTTTTTAAGGCAGTCGGGGTTAAGTGACTTGCCCAGGGTCACACAGCTAGTAAGTGTCTGATGTTTGGTCTGAGGCCGGATTTGAACTCAGGTCCTCCTGACTTCAGGGCTGGTGCTCTATCCACTGTGCCACCTAGCTGCCCCTTTCTCTTTTATTCTCTCCTCTCCTCTCCTCTCCACTCTCCTCCCTTCCCCTCTCTTTTTCTTCTCTTTTTTTCATCACAATCACTACCCATCATCTCTCAAGCTAAACACTTCATCTTAGCTTGAAAATCTCTAAGTTCTTCTAGAACAGAAGGGGTAATGAATTTTTAAGCCATAGTAACTCTGGAATTGTCTAAATTGTAGAGGATTTCATTTTTTTTTTTTTTTGGAGCGGCTAGGTGGCACCATAGTGCATAGAGTGCTAGAGATAATTATTAGCTGTGTGACCCTGGGCAAGTCACTTAACTGTGTTTGCCTCAATTCCCTCATCTGTAAAATGAGCCAGAGAAGGAAATTATCCTTCTCATTCCGTTATCTTTGCCAAGAAAACTCTGAATGGAGTCATAAAGAGTTAAATATGACTAAACATTTTTTTGTGACAAGATTTTGGAAACACAAGTGGTGAGCTGTATGTGCCTTGTTCCTTTTGCCTCTCAGATTACCTCAAAGCAGTGGATAACTGGTTGGGAATCCTTCTGCCCAAGATGAAGCCTTACCTCTATCAAAATGGAGGGCCAATTATAACAGTCCAGGTAAGGAGTCAGGAGGGCTCTAGCCCCACGCCCACATGCTTCCTTTCAAGGAGCTTCTGAGGGATGTGATTTTATGTCCAGTTACGCCTGCTTTCAGGACAAAATGCTGTCTTGTGTCATCATTCTGTTTTAGCTTTTTCTTATCGAGAAGATACAATTCAGAACAAAACAAAATACTTCTTTCGTTGTGTTTCTTTATCATGTAGAAAAATACCATGGCGTAGTGGATAGAGGGTCCTGAACTTGGAATGAGGAAAGCCTGGGTTCACATTCTTTCCTTGATGCTTTTTAATTGAAAGACCCTTCTCTGAGCCTCCGTTTCCCCATCGGTAAACGGGGCTAATAGTGTAATACCTACCTCACAGGGTTGTTGTGAAACTCCAGTGGGACAGTGCATGGAAAGTACCATAATAATTATTATTGCTCTCTGAAGGAAACATCAGATTGCTTACAGCATGTTGTAATAATAATCATAATCATTATAGAGGTGCTTTGCATGCATTCATGACCCTCACAGCAATCACGTGAGGGAAATGCTGTGGTTAAATTATTATCCCCATTTTGTGGATGAGGAAATGGAAATTCAGAAAAAGTTAATTGACTTGTCCAAGGTTTGAGGGTGGGGCTTGAACTCCGAGTGTAATACTCTGCCCACCATACCATTCTGCTACTGCTTTACAGTTCATTTAGTGCCTCTGGGGTTGTTTCTTCATCTTTAAAATAAAAGGATTGGACGGAATCACCTCTGAGATCCATCCAAGATTCTGTGTAACAGGGGAAGAAAGTAGAAATGGACAGATGTGTTTTTTCTTTCTCCCCCCCCCCATAGGCTTTTAGGATTTAGAGCTGGCATGGAGTCCAATCCTTTCATTTTAAAGATGAAGAAACTGAGTCTCAAAAGCTTAAATGACTTGCCCAAGGTCTTGTAGTGAGCTTTGGAAGCAGAATTTGAACCAAAAGGCTCTGACTGTAGAGGCAACTGTTCTTTCAATTTATTGCACTTTGTCCTATCCTCTTTTCTATTTCTTGATTTCCTTCTTATATCTTTATTTTTCCTTGCCCTCTTCTATTTTCTTTCTTTCTTCCTTCCTTCCTTCCTTCCTTCCTTCCTTCCTTCCTTCCTTCCTTCCTTCCTTTCTTTTTCTTTCTTTTTCTTCCTTTCTTTCTTTCTTTCTTTCTTTCTTTCTTTCTTTCTTTCTTTCTTTCTTTCTTTCTTTCTTTCTTTCTTTCTTTCTTTCTTTCTTTCTTTCTTTCTTTCTTTCTTTCTTTCTTTCTTTCGCAATGGGGTTAAATTACTTGCCCAGGGTCACACAGCTAGTAAGTGTTATGTGTCTGAGGCCATATTTGAACTCAGGTCCTCCTGAATCCAGGGCCGGTGCTCTATCCACTGTGCCAGCTAGCTGCCCTCCTCTTCTGCTGCTTCTGGGAAGGTATCTGATAAATGGTTTCAGTGGTAAGGATGGATCAGACACTACTGTACATTAAAAATATCCCAGGCTGGATTTCAGAATGAAAACTCATTAGTATTGCTGTGGGCAAGGTCATGCTTTGGTGAATATTGTTGTCGTCTCATCAGCCTGTAGGACCTAGTTTACATGACTAAGATTGAGGGACTTTTGGGGTACTCTTCCTTAGAACCTTCAACCCATCTTCCCTTCAGTGTCTCTCATACTCTCTTACTTTTTCTTGTAGTCTGGCTTCCTTTATCTGTCCTTTTTCTTTGGCCCCTGTTTCTCCCTAAATCACTTTCAGTTTCTCCCCACAGCTTCTCCACCACATTGCTATTGAAACTTCTAAGTAATCTAAGTCATTATGAGCTCTACTGAATCTGATAGAGGCTTTAGGCCTCTCCTAGAAATTTCCTCCAACGTTTATTCATCCCCAGAAGATTTAGGCTGGAGGCTATCAGATTTGATGAGGGAGATTTGGGGGGAGGATTAAGGGGACATTCCTGGTGTACTGGATGATAGCAGATGGCTGATTCCTATCTTAGACTTTCGCAAGTCTGGCAGCCCATTCAGATCAGGAGACTGAGAAGGACCACACTGTCTTCATCCTGAGAGTTTAGGGCTTGAGTTGTCTAGGAGTACAAAGTCCTTGTGATTAGCCTGGTGATTATGGACTATCTTTCATGGCGGAGCCCAGCCAGAATTGAGTCAGATCAGAAAAATCAACCCAGTGGAATAAGGTAAACATTTAGCCCACTGACTCTGTGGGTTGTCTTGTCAATTATACAGGAAGCAATCATGATTATGCTAAATTTACTGGAATTTCACCTCTGAGACAACGACAGAATCTATTCCTCTTTGGAGTTGTCAACATCATCATCATCATTGTTATTATTTTGTAAAGTAGACTGACATCTTACTAGTCAGTGATTACTAAGTGAGTCAGTAAACATTTATTAAATGCCTTCTTTGTGCCAGACACTGTGCTAAGTTGTGGGGATACCAAAAAAGGTAAAAGATAGTCCTTGCCCTCAGGGAGCTCACAGTCTAATAGAGGAGACAAGAAGCAGACATATTTACAAGCAAGCTACCTACAGGATAAAATATTTTAAAAAGAGAAGGCACTAGAGTTAAGGGAAGTTGGGAAAGGCTTCCTGTAGATGACAGGATTTTAGTTGGGCCTTAAAGGAAGCCAGGGAAGTCAACAGGTGGGGATGAAGAGGGGGAACATTCCAGGAATGGGGGACAGTCAGAGAAAAATGCCCAGAGCTGAGAAGAGCATCTTGTTCAAGGAATAGCCAGGAGGCCTGTGTCACTGGACCAAAGAATATAAGATGACCGGAAAGGGTGGGGGGGGAGGTCATGAAGAGTTCTGAATGCCAAGCAAAGGATTTTGTATTTGATCCTGGAGATGTTAGGGAACCACTGTAATTTATCGAATTGGGGTTGGTGTGTGTGACATGATTGCACCTGTGATTTAGGAAAATCACTTTGGCAGCTGAGTGGAGGATTGGTTTGAGTAGAGAAAGACTTGAGGCAGGCAGACCCACCCCCAGGCTCTTGCACTAGTCTAAGCTTGAGGTCCATAAGGGCCCGCGCTGGAGAGGCGGCAGTGTCAGAGGAGAGAAGGGCACGTATTTGAGAGATCCGGCAGGCCTTGGCAACATGTTGGGTGTGGTAGAAAAGGCGAGAGAAGTACCTGATGGATAACACCAAGATTCTAATTTAGATTCTTGAGGGACTGGGAGAATGAGGTTGCCTTCAGCAGTAGTAGGGAAGAAAGGAACGGGGGAGGATTTCAGGGAAAAGATAATCAGTTCCATTTTGGACATGTTGGTTTTAAGATATCTGCTGGACCTGCAGTTTGAGATAGCTGAAAGATAGTTGGAAATGAGAGATTGAAGGTCAGCAGAAAGGTTAGGGCTGGATAGAAAAATTGAAGAATCATCAGCATAGAGATGGTAATTAAATCCATGGGATCATCAGAGAAGAAATTTAGAAGGAGAAGAAAAGAGAGGCCAAGACAGAACCCTGGAGATGCCTATAGTTAGGAGTGGAGGAGGTGTCTAGATGAGGATTGAGCAAAGGAAACTGAGAAGGAGTGGTCTGATAGGTAGGAGAATGAAAAGAGTGATGTCTTGAAAACTAGAAGAGAAGAAAGTATCAAGGAGGAGAGAGTGATTAATAGGGTCAAAGGCTACAGAAAGGTCAGGGAATATGAAGACTGGGATAAGACCATTGGATTCGGTACCTGAGTAACTTTGGAGAGAGCAGTTTCCTCGGATTGATGAAGTCAGAAGCCAGATTGTTAGGGGTTAAGGAGAGTGAGAAGAGAGAAAGAGGAGACATCAATCAGAAGATGGCCTTCTGGAGGAATTTGGTTACAAAGAGCGGAAGAGATATAGGACAGTAGTTAGCAGGGATGAAAGGATCAAATGAGTCTTTTCAGGATGGAGGAGACATGGGCATGTTTGTAGGCAGTAAAAAGTGAGCCAGTAGAGGGAGAGAGATTGCAAATAAGTGAAAAAGTGGGAATGATGGAGGAGGCGTTGTTGGAGAAGATGTTGGATGGAATGGAATTGAGGACTCAGCCTTGGTAAGGCTACCTCATCATGTGAGACAGGGGTGAAAGAGGAGACAGTGGCAGAAGGCATCTGAGTGACAGGAGATGAGGCAGAGGGGAGAAGAGAAAGTTCATGACTAATGACCTCATTTTTGGGGGTAAAATATGAGTCAAAGTTCTCAGCTGAGAGAGTGGAGGTAGGGGGAGCCATGGAAAGTTTGAGGAGAGATGAGAAGGTTTGGAAGAGCTGCTGTGGAGAGTGGGATGGTGAATGGAGAAGGGACGTGTAGAAGGATTGCCTAGCAGCAGTGAAAGCCCATTCGAGGTTGTGTAGGATCAATTTGTGGTGGACCCAGTCAGAACAGTTACATGATTTTCTCCATCTTCATTTAGCAACACAATAAGGCTGTTGGCAGATTAACCACACTGCTGCCACCATGTCCCTTAATTCTGTCTTCCTGCCTCTCTTGTGATATCGTTCATTGCGTCTTTCACCCCCACTTTTTTTCTAGCCTTTCCTACCTCGTGGCCATCCCCTTTCTTTAACTAGCCATAGGAAAGGACCAAAGCATATTTTTCACAATTATTTGTTATAATCTATTAAGTAGAATTTTATGTCATCTCTTTCTAATCTGAAGAGCAGGCAAATGTAGAATATTTTATATTTTCTCTTAAAAAGAAGACTTACTCTCTTAAGAAACCCTCCCACCTGTTTACAAATTTTTTTTGGCAGATTAGTGGTCCTCCGGTGAGAATATGCCATAATGTATCAAGGGTTCTTTAACAGCATTTTTGTGTGTCAGTGGACAACCTCTTTGGGAGTCTGGTGAAGCTTATAGATCTTTTTTTAGAAGAATGTTTTTAAATGCATAAATAAAATACATATGATTACAAAGGAAACCAATTATTTTAAAATAGCTTTCAAGATTTTTTTAAAATTCATGGGCCTCAGATGTTAAGAAATCCCCTCTTTGGAGACATCAATGATAAGTGAGTTCATAGATTTGGAACAGAGATAGCCAAACAAGTATTAGTGGTGGACTGAAAGAAGAGGCACAAAGTTATTGCCATCCTGTCTTTCCGGGTTTCAGATATCTTCTTTTTTTTAGATCAGAAGTTGTGTCTGAGAAAGTCCCATAACTTTTTGAAAAGTTGTATTTCATGTGGCAGCTTTTGTGTTCTTAGAAGTGTTGAAATAACAAAATATGAAAGTATTTGTCCAGGTGCTCATTTCCCTAGGAAACTGAGTACTTATGAAACTTTTTGGGACTTAAGATGCAAGAAAAGAGAAGGTAATTTAAAAAAAATTCAGTATTTAGTTGACTGTCAGGTTTTGAGGAACTGGGACGCATAGAATTGATTAATATGGCAGTGCATCCATGCCTTTTCAACTTGTGCAACCGTTATCTACTTCCTGTCCAAAGTCTACCTTAAAAAGTCCACCCTGCCTGCCATGGTCCTTCTTCTAGATCAGGGGTTTCTAACTATTTTTGGTCCCCTTGGCTTTCAATAAAACCTGTCCATACTCTCTTATATGAAAGGAAACGAATTCTAAAGGTTACAATGCATATGCACATAAGAAATTAGAGATTACTTTTTCATTAGAAAAAACTTTATTCAGATAAATACATTTTTTTTAGCAGCATAAAGTTATTAAATGTTTTTATTACATTTTTTCACAAACACTACCAATTTTAGAATGTTTCAAAAGGTTAATATAGTTATTTGCCAAATATTTTTTCCCCATACTCTTGGAGTGGGGAGTTTGCATATTCCAAGCCCGAGTTCCCTTAATATTTCTGGCTATCAGTGGAAACATAGGCTGTCCATTGTTTATCCCTCACAGTGTGGCTTGGAATGCCTGAGCCAAGATGTTACATTTCCAGAGGGTCATGATGGTTTTTCTCTTTTCATGTAATTCACAGGTTGAAAATGAATATGGAAGCTACTTTAGTTGTGATTATAACTACCTTCGTTTTCTCCTCAACCTTTTCCGCCAACACCTTGGTGAAGATGTGGTGCTCTTCACCACCGATGGGGCCGTTGTAGAGTACCTGCAGTGTGGCTCTCTGCAGGGTCTTTATGCCACAGTAGACTTTGGAACAGGTGAGTGGCCATATTAGCAAGCAGGGCAGTCTGAGCCAGGAGTGCTGGGGTGTTTTGGCTTTTCCTCAGGTTAAGTACCATGTGGACAGCTACTTCCTGTTTGCTTTTTAGAGTCACAGCATAACATAACTTCTCTTTCATCTTTTCAAGAAAGAGCTAATAGAATAATAAACAATGCATTGTCTTCCTACAGTGTTTTAGAATTTACAAAGTGCTTTTACATCAATCACCTTAGTTAGAAATTACAATAACTAGAGTGCTGGATCTGGAGGCAGGAAGATGTGAGTTCAGATGTGCCCTGAGATATTTACTAGCCGTATGACCCTGGGCAAGTCACGTCATCCTGTTTGCCTCAGTTTCCTCATCTGTCAAATTATCTGGAGAAGAAAATGGTGAACCACTCTAGTATGTTTGCCAAGAAAACCCCAAATGGCATCACGAAGAGTTAGACAGGACTGAAAAATGACTCAAGAACACAGCTAGCGTTGATATGATGCCTGGTATGTACCAGGCACTAAATTAAGTGCTATACAGATTTTGTCATCTCATTTGATTCTTAAAACATACCTTGGAAGTAATAATATGATTGAATAATAATTGGAATATAATTGGAATAATAGTATAATTCCCGTTTTACAGTTGAAGAAACTAAGACAAATGGGCTTAAATATCTTGCCCACAGCCACACGGCTAGTAAGTGTCTGAGACCAGATTTAAACTTGGGTCTCCATGTGCAGTGCTCTGTCCACTCACTATATCACCTAGCAGGCTTCAGATACTTTCTGTGTGACCCTGGGCAAGTTACATCACCTTTACCTACCTCAGTTTCCTCAACTGTAAAATGAGAACAATGATAGCACCTACCTCCCAGGTTGTTGTGAGGTTCAGATGAACTGATATCTGTACATCTGGAATAAGGTAACAGATGAAATGAAATAATAGATGTAAAAGGGTTTTGCAAACCTTGAAAGCTATATAAATGTTACTGGTGATGGTGACGATGATGGCACCCTTGATTTCCCTCTCCTCCTCCCAAACTAAGACTAGTAGGCCCTCACAACATCATCCCCTTTTCTCCAGCCGTTCTAGGTATGTGGTGTGAATATTTTCACGCTAAATGTCAATCAGCAAGCAAGCTGGAGACAAAGGACAAAAATAAAAGCTGCTCTAGCCTCAAGGAATTTATAAAATAATTTTTCTTAAAAAAATAAATAAAGAAGCAACATGAGTATACCTGAAATATATATCAGGTGAAAATAAGGCAGTTTCCTGGGAGCTAGAAAGAACAGCAAGCTGAGGGATTGGGCTTAGCCTCCTGCAGAAGAGGAACTTTAGTCAAGTCAGCTTTGAAGGAGGCCAGTGATGCTGCGGCTGACATAAGCAGGAAGTTACCAGACTCCTCAGTTTGACCTTAGTCATGCGATCATCAGCTCTTTGACTTGACAGACGTCATCTGGCTCTTCCTCTGTCATCTGTCGCAATGCCTGGTCCTTGCTTTGAAAAACATTCTGTTGAGTGACCGATGAATGCTGTGTCAGTCACGAATGCTTCTGAAAGCAAAGCTATATAGATGGGACCGTGAACCCACAGCAGAATTTACAGGACAGAGTAACTGACTGTCAGTGACATTTCTAAGATTTCATTTCTAAGGCCTTGTGTTCATGTTGCAAAAAATATATATACATATATAGATATATATACACACATACATGTAAATGTATTTTACTGTCTCAAAGATGTCCCAAAGAGTATCCTGATATTTCACGTTGAAAGCCACATTGAATACATTTGCTTTTTTTGAGGTTTTATATTAATTCGATCTTTAAGCATTGTCTTATTATAAAAAATACTTAGGAGGAGAATTTGTTTAGATCATGCATCCCCACAGCTAGTCAGTTGCATAGGAAGTGGTAATGCTGATTTCCTCTCTGCTCTAGGAGATACCTCCTTCCCCTGACAAGGAAATGCAAGTCCTTTCTGCTGGCAGGGATGATTGGCCTCTCCTGTTAAGAGTGGACAGCACTGCCTTTTTATAGCATCCTTCTCTATAGAGTCAAAGGACATCTCAGGGGAAGCAGAAACAGATTTGAGGGTGTGGCATGGTCAATTACAAAGTATGCTAACACATACAGATGTTGGTTCCCAGAAGCATAGAAGATCAGAGATTGTAGGATTGTTGATTTCCAGCTGGAAAAGATCTTTCCACTTCCCCTGGCTTTACCCTTCCTCAAGTCACTCAAGCTCTGTAGGTCTTGTATTCCTCATCTGTACAATGTAGGGTCTGGATGTAGAGGCCTACAAGGTCCCTGCCACCTCCAATGTTATAAATAATCCCCTGGTCCTGGCTCTAGGATTAGAATATAACCCCTGCTTTCAACAGGCCTACAGTCTGGTTGGATGGGCAAGACAGATGAGCATGAAGAATTTATAGTAGGATAGAGACTGGACCACAGGGAGGTCCCCAATGAAGAAATGCCCCCTCTCTACCAGTACAGATGGGTAATTCCCTAAGTAAGAGTCTTAGAGTTGCCCATAGCACTGAAGATTTGTGACTTGCCCAGGGTCACAGAATCAGTGTGAGTCAAAAGCAGGCCTTGAACTCAGGTCTTCCCAGCTCCTTGGTCAGTTCTCTATGCTATACTTCTGTATAATAATAATAACAATAGCTAAACGTTTATGTAGCAATTTAAAGCTTGCAAAGCACTTGTGTATGTGTATGCATGTATGTGTATTTTTATATTGTATGTGTATAATATTAACATAAAGTGACATATTACAAATATATACAGTATTTTATATATATATTATATATACACATATGTATATATACATACATATAATAACTATCACATGTATTATAGAATAAACTTATATATAATATATAATATATAGTATAACATACTATATAGTATAACATACTATATAGTATAACATACTGTATTATAAATTATATTGATGTAATACAATATAAATTAATAAAATATTTATATTAACATAAAATTATATATATAAAGTGATTTGGTACTCAGACCGACTCTGTGACGTAGGTTCTATTATTACCCTCATTTTGAGGTGAAGAAACAAAGAAAAGCTAAGTGACACAGGTCACACAGATAGTGTCCGAAGAAGGATTTGAACTTGGGTCTTGGAGGGCAAAACCAGTGAGCTTTATTTGTGCTACCTAATTGCTTATATTAAGATCCAGGTAGATTATAGATATCATAGGAGTCAAGGCAAAGTCATCTTCAGCTCTGGAGTCTTCCAGGAAGAGAAGAAATAAATACAGTGGATTTGCTATCAAAGTCCAAAATAAAGGAGCCTGTTTATGCTCAGGGACGATCAGGGAAAGTTTCGTAGACAAACTGTATGATTTCAATTGAATGCAATTCTTTATACATTTATTAAGTGCCTACCATGTGCCAGGGATTGTACCTTGAAGGACAGATTGGCTATTTGGATAGATGTAGACAGGGCATTCTGGGGTGGGGCTGGGGAGACCCCTCAGTGTCCTAATTCTTTTTACATTCTTTTTTTTCCCCTAATTTCTCATGAATGCCCATGATCTCTTTTTTAAAAATATGTTTTATTTTTAATCTCCTACATGCAGGTGGCAATGTTACAAATGGCTTTCTGATCCAGAGGACGATTGAGCCCAGAGGACCCTTGGTAAGCTTTGTTAGTTTCTTTCAGGTTAGTACAGGATGGGCCCCAAACAAATTATTGTTGTAGGGTCAGTGAAACATATGTGATGTATGTATGAAACATGTATGACAAAGAATCCCAGAATTTTAACCTTAAGAGGCTGTGTAGTCCAACCCATACATACCTACTCAAAAATATACTCAACATCTTCTGTAACTCTCTAGCCTTCACAACAACAAAAGAAAAACCAAACTCCATAAAGCCTGATGCCTTGTGGCTCTAACATTCTTCCCCCCAACATACCTGTTTTTTAAAAAAATATATTTATTTTTATAGCATCTTAATTTCCCATCCCCTCTTGCATGCAGAGAACATCCCTAATAACAAAGAATTAAAAAGAAAAAGCATTTCAGCTAAACTACACCACAAATAATTAAAATCTGACAATATTGACAATGTTCTACACTCATAGTCTCCCACCTGCAAAGAGGGGAGAGTTTCAAGTCTAACTTTTTGTAACACCATGAGAAGATATTATATGATGTCATTCTTCAACTTTTTTGAAAGTGGTACTACATATAACACGCTTCTATTCTATAGTGGTAAATGATACCAGTGAGATTCTCCCTTGTTCATTCACAGCCCCTTTACCCTTCTTCTTTTTGTAGGTCAATTCAGAGTTTTACACTGGATGGTTAGACCACTGGGGTGAAGCTCACCAGACAGTCAGCAGCAAAGCTATTGTCACCACTCTGACAGACATGCTTTCCCGTGGTGCTAATGTTAACCTGTAAGTGAACTTGGAGAAAGAATTTTTGTTTTCATTTATTTTTCAAGGAACATAAGCAACTCTTTTTTGGAGGAATACAATGAACACTAAATTGATTTTTTTTTTGTGGCTGTAAATTATCCAGCTCTTTGTTATATTGTATTATATTGATTAGAATATGGGCCAATTTAGGCCTAGTTCCTTACATGAGATCTCTTTGAAAGGCAAAAAATAGAGACATATAAGTAAATGAGAAATAGTATGCCTTAGTGGAAGCCCTGGGATCAAATCCCACCATTGTAATGTGTGTTGGCAGTGCCTGGCACGTATAATAAATACTTAGTGAGTTGAATAGTTCTCCATTTAGGGCTGTCTGATTTTTTTCTGCTTAAATTTCTTGGGTTCTGAATTAAAGCAATACTTTAAATATTTAATTTTGTTGGTTGCCGTTGAATCTTTTTTTCTTAATTGCATTTTTCTGTGGCACCATGGTGACCTTATCTAGGGGAGCAGTTAATCTTTGTGGCTTTATCTTTTGCCCTTCAACTTTGCCGAAATCGAAGTCCACAAAGAGTCTCTTTCCTGAAGTACTAAGGACTTCTTTTCATTCAGCAGAGCTCTGACAGCTCTCTTTTTCATTTTAGGTACATGTTTATAGGTGGGACCAATTTTGGCTTCTGGAATGGTAAGAGCTCATTTGATCTATGGGATTTTCATCTTTAGTTTTCTTTTAAAATCTGAGTGTTGCAGCCAATTATATTTACTCAATTCTATGAATTGCATTCCTTTTGTTGCTTTTGTTTAATATAATTCGCTGCTGTCTTTGTATTTGAAGGAGCGACTGAAGAATTCTCCTAATTTCATTGCTTTTTCCAAAGACAACTGGTCCTTTTGTGTTTTCTTCTTTTTTGGGGGGGAGGTCACCCCTCCTTCTGTGCCCCACCCTTCCTTTCTCTGTTATTCTGACTTTCCAGATCTTCAAGTTTGACTTCATTTAGCGAAGAGTTCTTCTTGATAAAATGGGTCTCAACCTTCTAAGTCTCAGATTCATGCCAGCCAATTCTAAATGGCTCCAGGGCTGGTGAAGTTACTTCTGTGGTTTTTCTTTTTCTTTTTTTTCAGTATGAGAGTAGATACATGAATCACCAGCTTACTGGTTGGGCAAAGAAAGGGAGAAGTTGTAAAATTTAAATAATACTGCTCATAGACCTCTAGTAAGCTCAAGGGTGAAAATAACAACATGAAGGTTTTGGCACTGTTCACAGCTTTGATGTAATCTGTGTACAACACTGGATTCTTATCACTTATGGTTGAAAGGAAAGCAGTGAATAGAATGGTGGACCTGATGTCAAGAAGACCCAAGTTTGAATCCTGACTCAGACACTTATGTCTGTGGGCAATAAATACACTTAACTGCTTTCAACCTCAGTTTCCTGATCTGTAAAATGAAGTGGGAATTACAGTAGCACCTACCTTTTTTTTTTTTGAAAGAGCTCAATTATTTGTTTTTGGTGGAGTTGGGGAAAAGGAAAAAAATCTGTATAAAAATCTTACTGCAACTTATTCACTCTGTGAGGTGGAGGTGAAAAGAGAGTATGTTCCAGGTGCGGGAGACAACCAGTACAAATGCATAAAGAGTGGAGATGAAGTACCGTGTGAGAAGAATAGCAAGAATGTTAAGTCAGTGAAGAAGTTAGTCATGTTGACAATAGTTTCAGGGTTATAATTGCCTTTGATCACCTCCTCCTACTTATTAGTCCCACCTAGTCTGAACCAAAGAGGTCAATGATAACTGTGTCTCCCCTCTCTTCTTGCAATAACAGGGAAACTGAAATCTGCCACCATTTTCTTTTTTTTTTTTGTAACATTTTCTTTTTTTCCCAAATTACATGTAAAAAACAATTTTAACATTCTTTTTTTTTTTAAGTTTTGAGTTCCAAATTCTATCCCTGCCTTCCTTCCTTTACCCCTCCCTTAGATGGTAAACATCTATTTGCCACCATTTTTCTTGGTAGTTGGGCTTTGGGTTGTGATCTGCATGGGTAAAGCAAGTCTCTTGTACTAATGAAGATGATAAAGCCATTGAAGTCTTCTAGAATGGGGTAGTATGAAGGAGGGAGAGAGGATCCAGGTATTTCAGTAGTCTTTAATTTTTTAATTTGTGATGCTCATATATTTTAAATTTCTTAATTCTGCCCCCTATTGCTCAAATCATTCGTCTTAACAAATAAGCAAAATCAAGTAAAAATAAATTACTACATGAGCATCTAGGTGGTCCAGTGAATAGAGTTCCAGGCCTAGAAACAGGAGGACTCATTTTCATGAGTTCAACTCCAGCCTCAGACTTATGAGCTGTGTGACTGCAGGCAAGTCACTTCACCCTGTTTCCTCCTCGTTTCCTCATCTGTAAAATGAGCTGGAGAAGGAAATGGCAAACCACTGTATCATTGTCAAGAAAACCCCAAATGAGGTCACAAGGAATCAAACACAACTGAAAACAACCAGACAACAAGTTGAGAGGCCTTATTCCACATCTGTAGCTCTACATCTGTCTACTGAGTGTTGAAATGGCTACTTAAGCACCAGTCCTCTGAAGGCACTAGTTCTTTTGTCTTCAAGGTGTTTCATGTTCTCACGGAGCTTATTTTACTATGTTTTACCTAAACTTTAGCTCCCTCCCCTCCCCCCACCAAGCTGTACACAGTAGGTACTTAATAAATATTGTCCAGTTGAGTTGTACTGGAAAATCATGAAATAATGGGTTTAGAGAAAGGCTTTATTTTTAGCCTCTGTTTCACATATCCAGAAGCATTTTCAAGTGTGTTAATAAATGAATAAATGCAAAAAAATTTTATTAAGTACTTACTGTGTTCCAGGCACTGGGCTTGAAGTATATGGTCCAGAATAAAAACTCTCACTCAGCCTTAATGCTAGTTTCTATCTTCACTTTAAGCCCCAGTCAGGCAACAGAGATGGTATAACTTGTAAATATCTAGTTCGTTGTTTAGCCTCATTTAGGTTACTTAAGAAGGCAAAAATTCTAGGGAAATTGTAGTTGTCCCCTTTTTGTGGGGCATAGGGAAAGTCACCCAGAGTATATATTGAGTGACTCTTTTCCCCAGGGATTAGAATTATTAGGAGGACAGTGTCTCTAGGTCATAGACCCTTCAGAGATTGTCCAGTCTAACCTGTCATCCTTTTAAGGAGGAATACCCTCAACGCCATTCCTAAATGGCGACCATTCAGCCCATGGTTGAATAATATGGGGTGATAGAGTTTTCAGGGCAGCCAATTCTAGGTCTGGAGAGCTCTAATTGTTGGAAAATTGCCCCTTTATATGAAGAACAAATCTGCCTTCCAGTAGCTTTTAACCCTTTTGTTCTAATTCTGGTTTTTGGAGTGACATTGAACATGTCTAATCCCTCATCCACCTCTAAGACTTTAGGAAATAGCTCTCAATCTCCCACAAATCATCTTTTTACAAAGCTAATAAACATTTATCATTTGACACACATTCATCACCATCCTTGTCATCTTCCAATTTCGTGGTGGCACCTATAAATATGAACGTTACTCTAGATGTGTTCTATCTGGAATATAGTAAAATGGGACTGGATTTCCAATTTGTTACCTTTTAAAAAAAATCATATTAGCTTTTTTTAGTAGCTGCTTCAAAAATTTGCCTTTTTTTTTTAACCTGAACTGTCCTTAAGCTACATCTCCTGTGTTCTCTTGTTTTTTTGAGCCTAAAAGTGTAGGACTTTACATTTGTAGCTACTCAGTTTCACCTCTTCCCTACCCTTTAGAACCTTACATTCTATTAGGGGCAGAGTATGATGTTCTATGCAGTTGGTTTCTTATATTTTTGGGGGGTCTAGTTTGGTCCTTATAATTTTATAGTCTTTGGTTTCAGTTGTTTTGTTTTCACTTTTTCCATTTATGTTGTCATCATTGTGGATTTCTTTCTCCTGGTTCTGCCTGCTACACTCTATCAGTTCATACAAGTTTTCCCAGAGAAGAACAATCAATCCTACTTCCACTTTCCGACTAAATAGTCCTTTAAATGCTTGAAGACAGCACTCCTGGCCCCTCAAGGGCCTCACATCTCATAGTCATTCAAGAACAGTTGCTTAGGGGGCAGCTAGGTGGCACAGTGGATAGAGCTCCGGCCTTGGAGTCAGGAGGACCTGAGTTCAAATCTGGTCTCAGACATGCAACACACAGCATTTACTAGCTGTGTGACCCTGGCAAGTCACTTAACCCCGATTGCCTAGCAAAAAAAAAGAACACTTGCTTGGCTCAGCTGTATGCCAAAATGATTGCCTTTCCTTGAACCTCTTCTCATTGTTTCAACTATTAAAAATTGTTACTTTTTTACTTCTTAGGAGCCAATACACCTTATGCACCACAACCTACGAGTTATGACTACGATGCCCCATTGAGTGAAGCGGGAGACCTCACTGAGAAGTACTTTGCTCTGAGGGAAGCTATTGGAAAGGTGAGTGTTTTGTATAAGGATTCAGGCCTTGAAGGTCTGATATAAGATGAAAGGCTCATAGGATTTAGAGTCAGAAGGAGTGCTCATAATAATAATGATGGTGATGAGTAACTGAAGGTTTGCAAAGTGCTTTGCAAGTGCTGTCTTACTTGCTCCTCACAACAACCCTGGGAGGTAGGTGATATTATCCTCATTTTACAAATGAGGAAACTGAGGCCCAGAGTGGTTAATTCAGGCCTTCCTCACTTTAGGTTCAGCGCTCTATTTGCTCTGTCACCTAGCTGTCTATAAAATGACTAGATGATTTTTTGTGATTCCTACCTGCTCCAAAGATGGAGATGTTTTGCACATGTGATTTGGTTCAAGTCCAGAGGGAATATTATTTTCCTTTGATGGTCAAAGCCAAGTCATCCTTGAGATTTACTCTGCATTCCTGTGCCTTGGACAGATGCTGGCCAGGCATTGATGCCTGCCTCTGACAGCGTGACCTGAGCCTCCCAGGTGGGGTTTCCTGTCTCTGCTGTGGCTTTTTACAAATCCGCAGTCTTTCTGCTCAGTCACTTGAGTTTAAAAAAAATTTTTTTTTCTCAATTACATAGAAACAAAAATTTTTAACATTTGTTTTTTAAAAATTTGAGTTAAGTTCTCTCCCTCCCTCCTTCCCCACCTCCTCCTTGAGAAGGAAAGCAATTTGATATAGATTGTGCATGTGCAGTCATGCAAAACGTTTACATATTAGCCTTGTTGAAAAAGAAAACACAGGCCAAAAAATCCCCAAGAATAATAAAGAAAGTTTAAAAAAGCATGTTTTAATCTGTATTCAGACTCCATCAGTTCTTTCTCTGGAGGTGGATAGCATTTTTCATCATAAGTAGTCACTTGAGTTTTGAAATAAACTTGTAGTACAAAGATTTTCCACTTGTAGATAGGGAAGGCACATGTGTGTTTTTAAAAGAAAATTGTCTTGAGTTTTTAATGTCATGTACAACCTTTACTTTGAGTTTTTAAAAATATTTTTCATTAAATTAATCACCTTTTTTTCTATGTCACTTTGAGACCAGAGGTTCAGTGACTTTTTAAAAGTTATACAGCCTTGGACCCCAACATTCCTCTATTGACCAGTGATCCTTCTATAACCGGGGGTGGGGTCTATAAACTTGTTTTGAAAAATATTTTAATAACTATGTTACAATAGAATTGGTTTCATTTGTAACTCTGTTATTTTATTTTATATATTTTAAAACTTTTTTTTTTTGGGGTGAGGCAGTCAGGGTTAAGTGACTTGCCCAGGGTCACACAACTAGTAAGTGTCAAGTGTCTGAGGCTGGATTTGTACTCAGGTCCTCTTGATTCTAGATTCGCATTTAAAAACAGTCTGAGAAAGGTGTCCAGAGGCTTTACCCAGTTACCAAAGGAGGGCACACAGAAAATTAAGAACCCATCTATTTTCCATGAAGAAATATTAAGAGAATAGTATTTAGATTTTACAGTCAGATGTCCCATGGATGATGGGACAGATCAGATTTAGGACCTGCTGTCCTACATAGAATATGGCCTGAATTTCTTCCCTGTCCTGCCGTTTCAGGACGGGGGATGTTGCTGGGGACGTTCTCTTTCCAGGGATCCTGGTTCCTGAGTCACATGCAGGGAATTCCTTCTGCACACCTGTCTTTGTTTTCCTGCATAGATACTTGGAACTCCTGTGAGTTCTGGTCACCACCCTTCCCTGCCTCCCCTTACCACTTCAGAATCTGATAAGGTAGAGAGCCCCTCCCACTTGTTTTTACTGAGCTGCGTGGGCTCTGCTCTTTGCAAAGGTGAGGAAGGGGTGGGGTGAATGGTTTGTAGCTGCAAAAGCAGCTCCTTCTGGACAGGCAGAGCAGATGGGCACCTGGTCCACCTATTTGGTGCCAGGAGACAAACAGTTGTTAAACCTCTGGTTTAATGCATTAGTGCGTGTTCAGAGGATGCAGGGATGAGTAGTCTTGACATTTTGGAGCTAGAAAGAACCGTCTGACCCTTTGGCAGTCTGATGCCTCTGGACCCCTTTTCAGAATAATATGTGTTTTTATTATATGCTGAATTTTAGAGTTTAGTGAAAATAAAAGTAATTTTTTTTCCATCCAAGCTCCCAGACCCCCAGAAATCTATCCATGGATATCCTCTTGGAGTTTTCTATCCAAGGTCACAGACCTCTTAGAGTTCTCTGGGATCCAGATAAAGAACTTCCACACTAATCTAAGCCTGACCTGAAGCATAACTGTCTCCTCTGTCATTCCTGCCAAGTGATCCTTCCCTTGTAGCATCTGCCTAAAGCTCTCCAGCAATGTAGAGCTCACTCCTTCCCCTAGATAGCTGCTCATTGCATTTTCGAACAGTTCTGTTTGGGTCTTTGTTTCCTTAGATGGGGCCAAAATCTGCCTCTCTGAACCTCTGGCTCATAGCGAGTGCTATGTAAATGTTAACTATTGTTCTTAGTCATTTTTGGCGGGGGGAGGCAGCAGTTGGGCAAAGTGACTTGCCCAGGGTCACACAGCTGGCTAGTAAGTGTCTGGGGCCAGATTTGAATTGTTGTTGTTGTTCTTCTTATTATTGTTAAAATAGAAATAGTCTCAGGTAGAGAAGGCCTCTATCACACATCCAAGTTAAAGATAATAGAATCAGATAATCTAATCTTTATATCAAAGCAGTCAGATTTAGCATTTTAATCATAGATTAGCCCTGGCGGAAACCTCAGAAGTCATTTAGTCCAAGAGGTCCAAAGAGATTAATTGACTTAGGGTAAGTTACCCTAAGTCAATTACAAGTCAGTTGCCCGAATTTACACAGAGAGTAAGCATCAGGAGTGAGACTAGAACTCAGGACCTCCGACTTCCAAGCCAGTGCTTCTTTCCCCTGGACCCCACTGCCTCCAACCATTAACTTTGAAGGGGATAAATATTTAATTTTCTGTCTCTCTCTCATCAATTATTAGTTTTTCCCTTACCAGCCTATTCTGAAACTATTAGCTTGGAGTCAGAGATCGCCATCTTTCTTGCTAGTTTGTGTTCAGCCTCTGCGACTACTCGGCATCAAAATCTGCCTGGGCCTCTTGCCTCTGCTGCTTTCTAACCTTTCTGATGAGCTGCCTGAATTCTTAGAGTCTCTGGCCCCTTTCTCCATAAATGGAAGAAAGCTCTCCAGACAGTCAGCATTGTTGTGATGTCTCCATCCTCACCCCTGAGCTGGAGGAGTCTCTTTTTGGGGGTGGGGGTTGGCCCCTCTAGCAATTTCCAGCAAAAGCAGCTCAACCGAGGCAAAATAATTTGAATGAGGTGCTTATTCATGCCTCTTAATTTGTGTTAGTTACAGAGCTTCCGGAGCTGTTTTGTTTGAAAGACTTTCTGACCCTTGTGGAGAACATGGTATACTGGAAGGGATTTGACCTGGTTTATGGAGGCCCCATTGAGTTATTTGAGGGTGTGAGAATTGTTAGTTTGTAGGCACATAAGCTCTAAAATTGGAAACATGTTAGCGATGTTCTCTTCTACCTCCTCATTAGATAGATGGAGAGCCTGAGGCCAATTCAGGCCCTCCCGTTCTTTGTGTAGACTTGACTTCTTTCTAGTACCATGGACTTGAATTAATCAGGGTAGCCTCATGGTCTTTTACCATGTGTTTATTTATGTCTTTGTTCTGTTCTTTTGAGGCCAACAGTCATTCCCCTTGATTGAGGAGAAAATAAGAAAGATCAAAATTGAGTCATTTGCCTTTTTTTTGTTCATCCATTATCATTATCATCTCCATCCGTGGGGAGTGGTCCTATCTGTTCTTTGAGCCTTCTCTTTTCCCCTCAATCTAACTAAAACCAAAGAACTCTGTTTTATTCCTCCTCTGAGCCATTCCTACCCAGCACACAGCAGGTGCTTAATAAATGCTTGTTGATTGGTTGCTGTAAGCAGGGCAGAATACAGTGGGAATATTATTTCTTTTGTTCTGCCTACTGTACTTCTTTTAATGTAACATTAAGATTGTGACCATGGGCAAGTTATGTGATCTGTGTTTGCCTCAGTTTCTTCATCTGTAAAGTAAGGATAATAATAGGGCCTGCCTCCCAGGGTTGTTGTGAGGATCAAATGGGGTAAAAATTGTAGAGCAATTAGCCCAGTGCCTGGCACATAGTGTGTGTTCTATAAATCTTAGCTATTTTTAGCTGTTATTATTAGATTGTAGCCCAGAGTGGATCTGATGCGTCCTGACCACGTAACCCTGGGCAAGTGACTTAATCTCTCAGTCTACACCTCCTCCCCAACCCCGTGCCTCTGCAGGAGTTCCGTACCTACACACCAATGAAACCACTGGTCCAGCCCAGAGGAAGCCATAAATAAATATTTTGAGCTTCTAGATCACAATTATGGTGACTTAGACTGAGTTTGCTATCCACTAAAGCCCATACCCCAAGACCTTTTCTTTTCTTTCTTTTCTTTTCTTTTCTTTTCTTTTCTTTTCTTTTCTTTTCTTTCTTTTCTTTTCTTTTCTTTTCTTTTCTTTTCTTTTCTTTTCTTTTCAGGCAGTCAGGGTTAAGTGACTTGCCCAGGGTCACACAGCTAGTGAGTGTCTAAGGAGGCCGGATTTGAATTCCTGATCCTGGGTCCGGTGCTCTATCCATGGTGCCACCTCGCTGCCCCTAGCCCAAGAGTTTTTGAAGTGAACTATCATATAGGCACAGTCCTCCCAATTTACAATAGCTCGTTATTTCTGCATGTGAAGATAAATTCTGGCAATGAGGCAGATACTTTGGGAGATAGTAAATGCCTCTGTCTTCTGACTCCTTAGCATTCTCTTCCTTCATATACCATATTGCCCAGACTTTCTCTATTTCTGGTTTGGGTAAGAATTAATTCAGTTTGATTCAACTTGCACTTATTAAACACCTACTATATGCAAGAATTGTTGTGAGAATCAAATGAGTTAACAAATATAAAGTGCTTTGCAAGCCTTAAAGCTCTGTATAAATTATTATTATTAATTTTCCTTGGGAGAATACAAGATTTACACAGATAAATAGATGGAAGCTGTTTTTAGGAGAGAAATCAAATTAACCACTGGGGGAGGGGAGAGGGATCAGGGGTATCTTTGAGGAGGTGACATCTTAGCTGATCCTGGAAGATGAGGTAGTGCCGAGTAGTGGTTAGAGTGCTGCACTTGAAATCGTGAAGACCTGGGTTCAAATTCTTTCTCAGACATTTACTAGCTGTGTGCCTTTGGGCAAGTAACTCTGTGTTTCAGTTTCTTTCTCTATAAAACGAGAGGGTTAGTGTCGATGGCCTCTAAGGCCCTTCAGCTCTAAATCTTAGGATAAAGAATCTGAGTGGTGGGTAAGAGGAGAAGACATTCCCAGGCCTGGGGACAACTTGTGCAAATGCATGGAGGTGGCTTTGGTTTGGCTCCAATATACATGGAATGAAGAGAGGTAAATGGTAAGGCTTAAAAAGAGTTAGTTTGTGAAGTGCTTTCAGTTCTAAGTTAGTTTTAATCCTATCCTATATTAAAATTCCTTTTAAACCCCTTCCTCATCCCCTGCTGATTCTCTTCTTAGCTGAAACCCAGGCGTTCTCATACCTTGATGTTGACTCGTTTCGGTCATATTCAACTCTTCATGATGCCATTTTTCATTTTCTTAATGTTATTATAATGTTATTATATATTATTACCTGTGATGGTGATGCTACTGAATCGTTGGCCACGTGGAAAAGCATAAGGGGAGGAGAATTTACGGATCTGGAGCAGTTGGCTGGTGCCTCTCACTTTTCCAGTCTGTAAAATGAGGTTTAAAAAAAAAAAGACCTGTCATCTTCCATGGAAGCATTTAGGATAGTAAAAATGGAAGTACTTTGAGGTCTGTCTTTCAGGCAAATAGAATTTAATAACGCATTAACAGTCATTCTTGAACTGTCTAGAGCTCCTTCCCTCCCACGTCAACAGTAAATTACTTGGGGTGATTGGGAGGTCTGCCCAGAATGGAGTCCATGAGAATTTAGACAGGCCCATGTCACTTACCAGTTTTCTGTCTCTGAGAGAGATGTCAGTATCTTGTGGCTTGACAGGTTACTGGTACTAAACAGTGATGACTCCAGGTAGCTTTTCTGGCTTGAAAATTTCAAGGTGCCACCTAGCTAGTAAAGAGTCCTCTTTGGTGTGGGTAAAAATCTGACTAGACATGGTTAACACTTCAGCCAGAGGTTCACGATTACTCTGCATACTTCAAGAACATTGTAGGAAGAGACTTTTTTTTTTGTCAGTTTTCATTTTAATTGTAGGTAACCTTTTCTGGGGGGAGAGGGGGGGTTCCTGCACAGAACTGTCTTAATTCATGAGGAATTTGGTGACAGTTGTCTGTTCTTCCTGCTCATCAAGTTTCAGAAGACCCCCTTTTGAAATTTTTTTGGTACTGGAAATTCTGACAGTCATGAGGGGCCCTGAATTCCAAGTCACCTATGTCTGCCCCCAAAGAGTAGGGAATATAATCAAAAGGACCCTAGGATTACATATTCAGAACTGCAAGAGACCTTACAGTATGTCTAATCCAACTCCATCATCTTATAATTGGAAAACTCAGGGCCAGAGAATAGGGAATTGATTTACCCAAGGCCACACAGGTTGTAAGTAAAATTCAAAACAAGATCTGCTGCTCTTATCATTGAACCTACCCTGTCCTCTCCCATCATTTCTGCTAGAAACGTAAGCCCTCTTATCATGTGTTGGCTAAGGAGCATAACACTTTACCAATGAGGGGCAGGTATCTGACAGAGAGCTGGCACATAGTACCTTTCAGGCTTTATTAGGTATTAACTTATTCTCATTCTCTTCCCCTGCTCTCTGGCCAGATTGGCCAGTGTTGAGCTTGGAAACTTGGAAGATTCCAGTTTCTATCCCAGACCCTTACTAGATGTTTTTTGGCCCTGCGCAAGTCATTTTAACCTATTAGCCTCAATTTTCTCATCTATGAAATGGAGATAATCATGGCACTTATCTCACTGGGTTGTGATAATTGTATCAAATGAGATAAAATGTAAAATGCTGTGTAAACTTTGAGGCGCTATATATATGTGGTATCTTCATACTGTCATCAAATCTCTTTGTACGGGCTGCCTCCCCTCCTCTGTCTCCCAAAATGTACTTCCTCCTCACCTCCAGCTCTTAGAATTCCTAATTTCCTTCCAAGGTCATTGCAAACACCACCTTCTTTTCCTGATTTCTCCAGCTCCTACCAAAAAAAAAAAACCCCACCAAACTTGCCTCCTAATTATTTTGCAAAAGGTGTCTCAAAAATCTAGTGCAGCTTAAAACTTTGTTAAACTGCTTTAAATTAAAATTAAAATTGTAAATGTTGCTTAAATTGCTTAAAACTAAGCTAATACTTTTGAGACACATGTATTTATTTTGTGAATACCTATGTGTACATGTCTCTATAGAATGTAAGCTTCTTGAGGACAGGGATTATTTCATTTTTATCTTTTAAAACTTCATTGTCTAGCCCAGGGCCTAACACGTAGTAAGTGCTTAATAAATGTGACCCTGGGCAAGTCACTTAATTTCCCAGTGCCCTAAGTGACTCGAAGATTCTGAGTCATAGTTGACTTTCTCATCTGCATTGCCACAAGGTAATTTCCACACTGGGAGTACCTTATAAAGATGAAATCATAAGTATGGGTCACAGAGAGGTGGGAATTTTGCTGATATGCAGCAATATTTGTGTGTTCCATGATGTGGAGGTGCCCAGGGACATGAAAGTATGGAAGTGGCATAAAATGAGGGGGTTGGACTGCTGGATGGCCTTTGAGGTCCCTGTAAGCCCTAAATAGTGTCCTTTGAGCTTTATGCTTTCTGATCAAGTTGTTCTTTATCTGTCTACTTGCCAGTAAGTCTGAAGGATCATAAAGAGCTAGAAGGGATCCTCATACATCTTTGAGTCAAGGGCCATCGTTTTCCAACATCAGCAAGGCTGATCTTTGCACTAGGTCATGGAGGTCATAAGCAGCAGAACTAGGAAGTTAGTGGCCTAGAACTGAATCAAGATCCACTTTGACTTCTGACTCATCACACATAATAATCCCTAGTTCAGACAAGGCTGAAGTGAATAAAAATTCATCATTAATACCGCTAAGCATCCTTAATCTGAACCTTAAATCTTCTATATCTGGTGATTGGGAAGGTTGGGGAAGGTGAGCCAGGAAATGAAGTCATTCTGTGGCACCAGCTTTCGATCAAGTTCAGCTTTGAGCAGAACAGAATTCAAATCGGGGCTTCCTTTTCTTCTGTATTTCTCCCACTCGCCCCCTCAGACTCTGAATTTAAGAATCCCAACATAGTAGAACTGGAAGGGACTTATGAGACCATCTGGTCCAGGGGTGGGGAACCTGCAGCCTTGAGGCTGCACATGGCGCTCTAGGTCCTCAAGTGCGGCCCTTTGACTGAATCCAAACCTCACAGAACAAATCCCTTTACCTGGACTCAGTGGAAAGGCCACACTTGAGGACCTAGAGGGCTGCCTGTTGGCCTCAAGGCTGCAGGTTCCCCACCCCTGATCTAGTCTAACCTCTCCATTAAGTATTTGAAGATCTGATAACTTCCTCCCTTTCTTCCTTCTTTTCTCTGGCTTTAGTGGCAGCCATTTCTCCCACCATAATTCTGCTCTTCTGCTTAGAATTGTTTGTTATTACAAAGAAGTTTGTACAGCATCTGGAACTCTGTAGAGGAAATGAGCTAGAAATAAACTTGTTTTCTGCCTTCTCTTAGAAGAGTGTTTCATTTTAGCATGTCTTCTAAAAAACACCACTGTCACTATATTTATCATGCTGCTGCTAGGGTTTTAACTAGGTTTTTTTTTTCCTTTCCTGTTCATAGTTTGAAAAACTACCGGAAGGACCTATTCCTCCATCAACCCCCAAGTTTGCCTATGGAAAAGTTGCAATGAAGCAGGTAAAGAGAAAAAGCACACTGAATTTGGGCATGGCGGATAATAGCAAGCGTGTAGATGAGTGTCTTATTGAACTTTATGGAAACTGTTTTTTTCTAGGGGAATAATTAGGCGCATCTAAGTTTGGTTTCTGTGAAAATAGAAAAAAGTAGGGGATTTTCAGGGGGGAAAGTGAGGGTGCATGTACGTAGATACCAGGTAGATGGGCCAATGTTGGGAAGGTTGAAAGCGGGGAGAATAATTGAGTGTTTAAAATATATCTGAGACCATTTTACTGGCAGAAGGCATTTGCCAGGTTGGTGTAGTGGAGTGACCTTGAAGTTGAGAAGACCTGGGTTTGGGTCTTACCTCTGATGCTACTGGCTGCGTAACAATGGACAAATCACTGTCTGTGTCCTAGGCAACTCTTTAAGACTCTATGTTGCAGAACAATTGCCCATCATATTGGTAGATGGGGAGTTCCCTATATTTATGAAATATAATGGGTCTGGATTTAAAAAAATCTCAGGACACTCCTAGAGTCTGTAGTGTCGTAAATGATATAGTATAGGATGAAAGCTTTCTCAGTATACCTTAGTTTTCTCAGTTTTTTTTAGAGAGAAACACTCTTTTCAACTTTAAATTGTACCACTGTTCCATCTTTAAAATCATGCCCTTCCAGTTGTGGTCTTTGGGTTAAGAGGAAGAACATGGAGAAAGACTTCTAAAATGAATCATAAACAATCTCTCTGCCATGATTGCTTTTCATAGATGGTCCCCCAGATTGATTAAGTCTTTAGGCTCTGTTGACCAGGACTGGGGAGGTGAGGATGGTCTCTTGATACTCAGCCTTGATCACATATGGAATATGATATTCAGTTCTACGCTGCACATTTCAGGAAAGACATTTATAAGCAAGAGTGGATTCGATAGAGCAGATGGTAGGTGAGAATCATAGTAACAACAGCTGACCTTGATGGTACATCTTTAGGTTTGAACTTCCCGATAACCCTGTGAGGCAAGAGATAGTATCCTCATTTTTACAAATTATGCTTTGGAGAGGTTCAGCTCCTTGTCGGGGGTCATTTAGCTAGGAAGGAGTCACAGAAGCCCAAGTGCTTCGATCTGTCCCCATATTGAGACTCCAAAAAATGTATTAAACCAGAGCAAACTTTTCAAGCTTGTATGTTTCTTGTGCAAAATTTGACGAGCATTCCACCATCTTTAAATTGTGCCATAGAATATATGTATATGTATTTGCGTATATGTGTGTGTGTGTGTGTGTGTGTGTGTGTGTGTGTGTATGTGTGCGCGCATGTATATTTTTATCTTCAGTGACATGTCCAATAAAATTACATCATGTTTCCATTCAAGACTCCTGTTGATTTCTAAGTACATAGCTTGGGGAGTGAGTCTCACATTTTCCATCCCTGCCTTGCGTCAGATATAGGTGCTGAACATACTTACAAGGAGTGTGGTTTCTGTGACTGATAAGAATCTTACAAAAAATTAATCTTAAATCACGCTTCTGAAGGGTCTTCTCCGTTTAGTTATTTTGTCTAATTGTTAGCTTGGGAAAGATTTTCTTTCCCCTGTTTCAAACATTTTTATTTCTGTTGAGGGCATCGCCCTTCTTCCAGATACTCAGGTTTGGAAGTTCAGGTGTCATCCTCAATTCCTCACCCTCCCCCTTCATTCCACATACCTACTTGACTGCCAAATCTCCTTTGCTCCTCCATCCCATCTCTAGACTCTGTCCCCATCTCTGCACTCACATGCCACCATCCCCTTCAGCCTGGACTGTTTCAGTAGCTGTTTCTGTCTGGTTTCCCAACTTCAGGGCTCTCCCCACTCCAGTCTGTCCTCTACACAGGTGCCACAGGGATTTTTCTAAAGTGCAAGTCTGACCATAAACTCCAGTGGCTTTTATTACTCTTGGGATCAGATATAAATTACTTTGTTTGAGCTTTAAATCCCTCTACGTCCTGGCCACAGCCAGCCTTGCTAGCCTTCATGCATTCAGTGGCCTGGCCAAACTGGATTTCTGGTTATTCCTCACGTGTAACAATCCACGTCTTGTCTTTCCCTCTCTCCCCCTTCTCTCTGCCTCGTAGAATCCTTAATTTCCCTCAATATTGAACCCAAATGCCAGCTTCTTCTTGAAGCTTTTCCTGACACCCCCCCCACAGTTGTAAGAGCCTTTTCCCCCAAATGTTCTTGTATCTGTTAGAAGGCACTCTCTCCTCCCCTGCCTCCCAGAAACCTTCTCTTCCTTTCTTCCTTCAAGCCCCAGCCCTGGCTCCACTCTCTACCTGAAGCCTGTCCTGTCCTTATCCTCTCATCTGCCCATGTTTTTTCTCCCAGACTTTCTTGTTGAGTCATTTCAGTTGTGGCTGACTCTTCATGATCCAGTTTGTCTGAGGCTGGATTTGAACTCATGAAGATGAGTCTTCCTGATTCCAAGCCCAGTGCTCTGTGCACTATGGCGCCTCCTAGCTGCCCTAAACTACTTTTCATGTATTTGTATCTATTTGTTTTCTATATACTTGTATATGTACTTCTTGTCTCCCCCGTTAGAATATGAGCTCTTTCTAAGTAGGGATTGTTTCCTTCATTGTACTTGTATCTCCAGTACCTAGCATAATGCCCAGGATGTAGTAATTGTGGATTGGCTGATATACCTTTATATTTTCTTCATGAATAGAATGTAAGTTCCTTGAGGGCAGAGACCGTCCGCTTTACTTTTTGTCTTTGTATCTCCATTAGCTAACAGTGCCTGGCACATCATAGGTACATAAGAAATGTTTATTGCTTCATTGATGGATTGATATGAGCATCTGACCAATCATTGATACGAAATGGAATTCAGATTTTTCTGAAAGATCCGTTAGAACCATGATGAGTGCATGCACTTAATATTTTATCTTAATTAATATTTTATTAGATTAATATTTTATCTTAACCTAGAAAATCATGTGCCTCAAAGGAGAGAAAAATGAGTTTAGGGCAAAGAAGAAAAAAATATGTTTTTGTATTCCTCCTTTAAGGGGGAAATTGATTTTTTTTATCCCGTAATTTAATGTTCTTGTCCTTTTAGGACAATATTGTCTTCATTTACATTTCTAGTGAATGGTGGTGGGGTTTAGTAACATAGTTGGGAAGCAGAGTGAATTCTGTGACTCGTTGTTTTGCATTTGGAGATTTTTTTCATATCCACTAAAGTCTTTGAACACTGGCTTTGATGGCATACATGAAGACCAGTGAGCATTGACTGGGCATCTGTTTCTGGTTTGTTTTCAGGTAAATACAGTGGAAGAGACTCTCGATATTTTGTGCCCTGCTGGACCGATAAATAGCACTTACCCCTTGACATTTGTCGAGGTGAAACAGGTACGTCTTCCAATCCATAGAATTACTGATTAATAACACTTCAATGTATTACCATTTTGCAGAGATATATTTCTGCATTGCTTCATTTTTCCATATCTGAATTTGGCTTAAATAGGGAACCAGGGATAAAAAAGACTTTGGGTAAAATAATCGTATGGATTTTATTTTCAGAATAAATTTTTATTTTTATTTTTTGTTCTTATATTGCTTAAAATTCTCTCTGTAACCATTCCCCTTCTCCCAGGAGCCATTCTTTATAACAATTTTTTTTTAAAGAAAAAGAGGAAGAACTTCTCAATGAGAGTGGATGGGGAGGGAGGGAGAAAATTTGGAACCCAGAGTTTTAAAAACAAATGTTAAAAATTGTTTTCACATGCAACTGGGAAATAAGATATACAGGCAATGGGGTATAGAAATCTGTCCTGCCCTATAGGAAAATAGAAGCGGAAGGGGATAAGAGAAGTGGGGGGAGATAGAAGGGAGGGCAGTTTAGGAGAAGGGGTATTCAGAATGCATGGGGAGATGGGGAGAAAATTTTAACTCAAAATCTTGTGGAAGTGAATATTGAAAACTAAAAATAAATTAAGTTTTAAAAAAGAGGAAGAAGATAAAAAAATCAGCAAAATTGGAATCATGGATTTTTACAGGATTTCATTTTTTGTTCACATACGGCTGAGTACCTTAGAGTTTTTGTTTTTTTTCTTTGCTTATTGAAGTCCAGTCTCTACTGGCATCTTCTTTCACTGGTGTCTCGTCTTGATGTATTGGTGACCTTGGGTTCTCAAAGGCTATGTCTAACAGAATTCAAACTGGAAATGCTTTCCAGTAGTAGCCTAGGGACAGGTTGTGTATATGTTTTCCAAGGACCAAATTGGCTAAGAGGCTTAGTCCCAAATCAGTGGCTCTCAGGTGATGATTTTTGGCCACAGTCTTCCTCTTCACCCCAATTCTTGCCATCATCTTTAGTGACTTCACTCTTCATATGAAGGACATCTTCTACTCTCACTTCTCAGGTCATTGGCCTTGTCAATTCCCATGACCCCCAGCCATCATTAAGGAGGGGTGATATATTAGACCTCACTATCTCTTCCCATCTTCAAGACACTGAACTTTGAGTTCCTCCTTCATTACTATGGTCTTCTGGCCTTCTACCACTCCCATCTCTACACTCCTCCCAAACCTGCTCTTTTCCTTATCATTTCCTCCGGTACTCTGATGCCTCCATTTTCTCCCATTTTATGATCTCGTCCTGATTCCACTGCCCTCTCTTCACATGTTTGATCCTTTAATTAGCATTTTTACTATGCATCAAATCTCTTGCTCTCTGGTCCTTATACTGTCATTTGCTTTCTTGTTTCTTACTCCAAAGACAATGAATACTGCTAGAGGAAGTCAGGAATCTGCTGACTGGATCCACTATAAATTCATGCTAACTCAGCTCAACTAGGTATGGCAGTTCTTTAGTTATGTCTCTGGGTACAGTGGGAAAAGTGACGGATTTAGAGCCACAAGAGTTGGGTTCAAATTCCACCTTTGTTACCACCTGTGTGATCTTGGGCAAATGGGCCTCAGTAGTCTTACCTGTAAAATGAAGAGATTGGACTCAGTGGCCTTCTAGCCTTAAATCCATTATTGTTTGATTTCATCATGCTTTACACAATGGCAACTCCAACCCTCTCTCCTCAAGCCCCCAGCTCTACCCAGCATGCTCTTCTCTATGCTTATTGGAGACCTCAACCTTTTTTCTGTTTTCATTCATATTCTTTTCTTTCCTGCTGGTCTCAGAGGATGAGGTGCCTTTCTTCCTTTCCAAATCAACCCTCCCACTTGTACTCTTGATCCCATCCCGTCTGGCCTCTCTAGTAACTTCCCCCATTGCACATTATTTTTCTCATTTTCATTCTCTCCCTCTGTAATGGTTTCTCCCTCTGTGCCTAAAAAAATTTTAATTAAAAAAATTTTTAATGCTCAAGTCTCTCCTGTCATAAAAGCAAAAAACCAAAACAAAATAAAAAACCCAAACCCTTCCCTTGACCCTCCTACTCCCTCATGGTATCATCTCTGCTCCCCTCCACTGGGGAGATTCTAGGTAGAGCAGTCTAGACTTGCATCCTCCACTTTCTCACTTCCTACCCGCTTCTCAACCCCAGGAGTCTGGCCTCCATCCCCGTCACTCTTCTGAAACCTCCTTCTCACCTTCCAGTGGCCATTGGACTTATTTTCAAGTTGCATCCTCTATAACCTCTCCATAGCATTTGATTCTGTCTGCCCCTGCTTCCTTCATGCGGATTTCTCATTCCTTGGCTTCCATGGTCCTGCCTGCCCTCTTGATTCTCCTCTTCCTTTTTTTTTTAGTCTTGTTCACATGAGCATTCCCCAAGGCTTGGTCCTTGGCCTTCTTCTTTTACTACATTCATTTTCCAGGACAATCTCATCTATTCCTACAGCTTCACTTGTCCCCTATGGGCAGGTAATTCCTAAAAAAGTACGTGCAGTTCCATTCTCTTTCCCTAATTTTGTTCCATGATCTCCATTTTCCTGCCAGACATCTCCGTGCTAGACATAGATATATTATCCATTGATTCCCTAAACTTGATAGTCTAAAATCAATCTCATCATCTTTCTCCTAAACTGTTTCTACTTGTAGTTTTCCTGCTCCCTTCCCCAACCTTGGGTCTTCCTCTCTTACCTAGGTTGAAAGCGCAATGGTAGACCCAATCCAGTAACGGACTCCACGTAAGATATCTTCCATGACACTAGAAATAACTATAAGTGAACCCATTTCTCTTTGTTTTATATCATTCAGTCAGGTAATCAAGCATTTAGTAAATGGTTACTCTGTTCAAGATGCTGTGCTAGCTTTTTTTTGTGTGTGTGTGAGATGAGTCCTCCTATCTCATGCAAGCTGGAAGTAGAGCAGCCCCTCACAGACCCATCCCAGCACTGGTTGGCACCTCATCTTTATCTGATCTGGGCCCATTTGCCTCCTCCTTGGGCAGCTTGATGGCTTCCTGTTTCTTGAGGGCTTAACATATTGGTGCCAGACTTAATGAGGACACCTGATTGGCTTTAGCTCATCTATAGGTCAGAACTTCAAACTCAAGTGATCTACAGGCCCCCCCAGTAACAGAGATTTTTATAGCACTGTATTATTTCATTTCTTCCCCTCAAAAACCCTGTGAAGTAGGTGCTGTTATTATCCCCCTTTTATAGTTGAGGAAACTGAGGCAAATAGAGGTTAAGTAACTTGCCCAGGGTCACACAGCTTGTGTCTAGGGCCCAATTTGAAGTCAAGTCTTCCTGACTCCTGAACCACCTGGCTGCTATATATACTTTACTTAGCGGCAATGGGGAAAAGTGAATCTTCCCAACCTGGATGTGTCTAGAGGCGGCAAGGCAATGGGGATGGGTAGGAACTCTAGTTTTTTTCACCTTCTTCCAGGAAGAGATTGAGCTCTGGGAATAATAGTAAAGCCTTGTGTGTTGGTTCAATGCTGTTGACCATTTCTTGGTATCTTCACATCATTGACTTTATTCCGAAAAAGACTCTGGAGTTGGGGAGGTGGGCCCTTCCCTGTTTTCCCTGAGTTCTGAGTCTGAGTAGCATTCTAGCCCTAGATCTGCCATTTCTTGGTGGTCTGACTTAACCCCTTGTCAGTTTCCCCATTGGTAAAATACTTGCCCTCCTTTCCTTGTGAGGGTCAGGGGAGGTGATGTGCCTGAACACACTTGGAAAAATATAAAACATGGTGGCTCAGTAGATAGAGCGCCGGCCCTGAAGTTAGAGGGACCTGAGTTCAAATCCAGCTTCAGACCAAACACTTGATACTTACTAGCTGTGTGACCCTGGGCAAGTCACTTAACCCCAGTTGCCTAAAATATATGTGTGTGTGTGTGTGTGTATACATTTTACACACACACACATACACACACACACACACACATACACACACACACACACACACACACACACACACATATAAAAAAACAGCTTCTAATATGAGGCACACACCATGCCAAGCCCAGGTCTTTTCCTATAAAACTGTAATACTTTTTGATTTTTAGAGAAAAAAGGAAGCTCCCATGGGATGGTTTTATCTGTCACTTAACCTAGACATTTGAAATCAGCGGGACCTATATAGCAAAAAAAGGCTAGTTCCAAGTGGGCACAAAAATACAAAACTAGGGGGTAGGAGGACGTATCTGGGGGTGGTTAAAAAAACCAAACACACACACACGTTTGATTTGAAGTCAGCAGACTTGGATGTAAGTTCTTATTCCCTAGGTGAACTTGGGCAAATTGCCTTACCTCTCTGGGCCTCAGTTTCCCCTTTTGTCAAATAAAGTTGTTAGATTAGATGAGCTCTGAGGTCCCTTCCGGTTCTAAATCTGTGACGTCTCTTCTTTCTTATTTCCCCTGATACCTAGCGCCATGCCTTAAATGTAGTAGATACTTTTATATATATATAATTTGTAGGATTGAGTTAAGTAAGAAATGAAAAAAAAGATTAAAAGCAGTCCTTAGCACAGTCAGTTCCTGTGCCTTCTGCCGCAGACACTGAAGGGACTTCCCCTCTCTGCCTCAGGACTTGGTTATGGCTTTGCAGGTATCGAGGCATCTTCCTCTCCTGTGTCAGAAGCACCTCTAGACGTTTCTCTGCCTCGGTGACGTCTGAGTGTTGACGTCTCATTTTTTGATGAGTCTTGACATCTCATTTTGATGTCTTGCAAATATGAGAAGAGGATTTTCTAGGGCAATGGAGGTTCTTTACCTTTGGGCCAAGGAGCTGTTTTTTATTTTTTTGAAGACTATAATCCTGCGTATGTTATCTTATGCATTCTAAAATGTTATTTTGAGGAGATGTTCATAGATCTCACCAGACTGTCCAAGGAGTCCATGCCACAAAAACAGTTAAGAACTCCTGGTCTAGAAGGAAATGTTCATTCATTTTAGGAGTGTTTGGAGTTCTGGGGGGAGGTGATTATTTGGAGGTTTGTTTTCTGCCCTTTGCTGTTGAACTAGATCATGTATAAATGCTTTTTCATATGAATATGAAATGTCCAGAAAATGCCATTTTAAGCTATTAGAGTTTGGCACACCCTGTATAACGAAGTCATCACAAGACCGTAGCTTTCAAAGGAGAGGGTTTGCTTCTTCTCCTTCTTCCCTTCCTTCTTCCCTCTTCCTCCTTCCCTTCTCCTGTCCTTCCCTTCTTCCCTTCTTTTTTCCCTTTCCCACTCCCCTATTCTTTCTTCTTTCCTCTTCCTCTTTTCCTTTATTTGTTTATTCCCTTCCTCTCTTCTTCCTTCCCTTCTCCTGCCCTTCCCTCCTTCCTTTCTTCTTTCCCTTTGCCACTTACCTTCTCCTTCCCTTTCCTCCTTCGCTTCCTCCTCTCATGTTCTACTTGCCAATTCATTCCACACCATCCCTTTCCACATCCCATTTCCCGTGCCTAGAATGCTTTCCTTCCTCACCTCAGTCTCATAGAATCCCTAGCTTCCTAATTAATTTTATGAGCTTGACAAACTTCTACAAACATGGACTTTTCCTTATGCAAAGAAGAAGAAAAACAGGATTACATATGACGTTATGAATCTCAATTTTATGTACAACTAATGTAACTTGGTAGTTTCAACACCACCTACTTAACTGTGTGTCCTCTTTGGAACATCCTTCTGCCCTCTTCTGTGTGTTTTTAAAGAATATTTCATTGCCCTTTTATTTTTTTCTTCCCTTTTGGAAGCAACGCTATCACTGCCTCCCTGGCCCCTTTCACTCCTTAATAATAAATAAATAAGCACAGTCTTTAACAAAACAGATTCTTTTATCAGCCATGTCCAGAAGCATACGTCTAATCCTGAACTCTTGAGTCGATTGTCTGCCTAGAGGTGAATACTCTAATTCATCATCAGTCCTCCAGAGTCAGAGTTATTCTTTGTATCGATCAGAGTTCTTAGTCTTTCAAAGTTTTTCTTTATAATGTTATTGTATACACTGTTCTCTTGGTTCCTGCCTGGGTTTTCACGAAACCATCCCTTTGATCATTTCTCAGAGCACTATAATATCCCATTCCTTTTGTACGCCATCATTTGTCTAGCTGGTTCTCAATTGACGGGCATCCCCTTGGCTTCCCAGCTTTCTGCTATAATGAGATGGACTGCTATGAATATTTTATTTACATAGGCCCTTTTCCTCTTTTCAGATCTCTTTGGGGTCTAGGCTAAATAGGGACATTGCTAGGCCAGAAGGGGTGCAGAGTTCATTGACTTCTTGGATATAGTTTCAAATTGCTTTCCCGAATGTCTGGACCTATTTATACCTCCTCCAGTATGCCATTATTGTGCCCATCCTCTCATATCCTTTATAGCAGTGATCATTTTTGTTTTTTGGCATCTTTGCCAATCTTATAGGTATGAGGTAGAACCTCAGTTATTTTAATTTGGATTTGTCTCGTTCTTAGTGAGGGGTAGCTAGGTGGCCCAGTAGAGTGCCAGCACTGTAGTCAGGAAGACTCATCTTCCTGATTTCAAATCTGGCCTCAGACACTTACTAGCTGTGTGACCCTGGCCAAGTCACTTTCCCTGTTTGCCTCAGTTTCCTTATTTGTAAAATGAACTGGAGAAGGAAATCGCACAACACTCTAGGACCTTTACCAAGAAAACCTTAAATGGGCCCATGAAGAGTCAGACGTGACTGAAATGACTGAAAAACAACAACGTTCTTAGTGATTTGGAGCATTTTTTCATGAGTTGTCAATAGTTTGCCTTCTTTTGAGAACTGCCTATTCATATGTGAAGTTGGCTTCAGGGCAGCATTATCCTTTGACCATTTATCAACTGGGAATTGGCTTGTGTTTTTGTATAACTCAGGCTGTCTATCGGAACTTCTAGAGTAGCTCATTTTCCTTGCCTCTTCTGTTTTTAATTCCTAAACTTGCCATATAAAGAACCTTTCGCACTAAACAGGTAAGACAGCTGTATTCCAAAGTCAAGTTGAACCTCAATATAATAGAAGAGAGTGCCCAAGGAAAATATAAAGATTTTGGATAAACTGTTGGTCTCCCCATGAAAACTGGAGATGCCACAATTGGGCTTACTCATATATACCCATGTGTGGACATGTTGTATCCCCTGTAGAATGTAAGTGCCTTGAGGACAGGAACTATTTAACTTTTTTATCTGTAAATTCAGTGCCTAGTATATAATTAGTGCTCAATAAATGCTTATTGTTGGCTGCTTTTACAACACATATGACTCAGTGTTCACTTAAAATTAGTTAGAGGATTTATTGATTTTCCCTCCCTTTACTCTAGTATTTTGGCTTCGTGCTATACCGAACAACACTTCCTAAAAATTGCAGTGAACCAGTGAGCCTTTCTTCCCTCAATGGAGTCCATGACCGTGCCTATGTTTCTGTGAATGGGGTAAGAATTGGCTTCCAAAGTACATGTTTTTTAAACCCTGTTGAGATTTTGTCGTATTTATTCTTTCTCAGTGTTTCCTTATCTTTGTGACTGAGTTCTTTCTTATTTGACATTGAATTTGTAGGTTCCCCAAGGAATTCTGGAGAGAAACAAAGTGTTCTCTATCAATATAACTGGGGAAGCTGGTGATACTCTGGACTTGCTTGTAGAAAACCTGGGGAGGGTCAACTTTGGAAGCAAAATTGATGACTTTAAGGTAATCTTAAAGTTGGGTTGGGGCGGTCATTTGAGGAACTTGTTTGGTCATTCAAGGCATTCAGAGAAGAACCTTTCAGTCATCTCAGGAATTTTGTGGCACTTAGCACTTAGTACCTGGCCCATCATATTAGGTGCTTAGTAAGTGTTTATTGACTGAATGAATGACTGAGTAGCTACAGTGGGTCTTTCATTACCCAATTCTTGTGACTGTTTTTGCCTTTAGAATCTAGTGTATGACACAGTCACAATCACAGAAGCTCTGCAGACCTATCCACACAGTGTTAGCATTCCAGGAGGTTCAAGGCTACAGTGAGTCATCACTCAGATGTACTTGTACTTGACAGGTAGGGACAGAGTTTCTTGGGTTGCCATGGTCAAAACATTCATTACCTGGCAACTAGCTGTCTGGTAATGAGCCTCCTGTCTTTAGTGAGGCTGGTCCCCGGTGCTGGTCATGTACTTACTGGAAACCTTTGCCTCTTGGAAGAGCCAGCCAGAGCTGTCATAGCCTTCCACCCACACCCCAGGGCCACATCCACATCAGGATGAGGATAGTAATGGGGGCAGATGAGGATAAAGAGATTATCCTGCATATGTGTGATTTCAGTGGCATAGGGAATGATTAAATGAGCAAGTATCCTCTACTAATAATGCAGGTTAGTGCCTTCTCTGTAGTTTAAATCCATATCTCAGGATCACACAGCCAATGTGTGTCAGAATCCAGATTTGAACCTATGTCTTCCTAACACCAGTCTTCTATCCATTAAGCCAAATGAAAGACAAGTAATATGACAAAATGGCTCCATGAACTAATATATAGCTAAAATTCCATTCTTTTCATTCTGAAAGTATTTGGAAAATGTTTCATTTGAACATAACATTGTTTCCTTTTTAAAATTAAGTATAATATTTTCAATGAACAAAATTCTATTCTCTCCTCACCCTCATTTTTCTTTGAAAAAAGGAAGAAAGAAAAACTCTTGTAGCAAACATAGACTACAAAAATAGTCACCAAATATCGGCCAGGATCAAAAAATCTATGTCATATTTTGCATCCCCAGTCAGTCAACATGACATTGTTTCCTGATTTCAGCCTAGTGAAGGGCATGTTATAGTAAATGATAGTGGAAAGATGATCATTTATTTGGAGATGGAAGGGGCTGTGAAAGGCATGGAGTACGAGCCTTTCATTTCAGTGGTAAGGAAGTTGAGACCTTGAGAGGTTAAGTCACTTACTCAATCTAATGTGTCAGAGGTGGATTACCACGGTTTCCTCTGGCTTCGTGTGCATAGTTCTTTCCTCTGTACCCTGCTAGCCACCTTTAAGCCACTTTTACGCCAGAGTGCAGCCTCAGAGGCAGAGTTCCGAGGCATAATGAAGTCCACCCCAACAGAAATCCTAGCGGTGTTCTCAGATTTATGGAATGGGTCAAAGGACAATAGATATATTACTTCAAGCCAGACCTCCCTCATTTTACAGAGGAGGGACCTGAAGCCCAGAGAAGGTGCCCATGGCCCTGAAGATTAGAAGACTAGCTCTGTGTAGAGTTTCAAATCTCTGATCTAAAATTTGCAAAGGAGACCCCTTGTGATCCACCTCCCCTACAACACACACACACACACGCACACACATACACACATTCACACACACACTCACACATTCCAAAATAGAAGCTCTGGTTCTTATTTTTGTGATCTCTCCCTCCTCAGAATTCTCATTTCATCACCATGAGGCACCTAGCACATTCTGCTTGAGATAATACTTTTTTTTTTTTTGAGGCATTTGGGGTTAAGTGACTTGCCCAGGGTCACACAGCTAGTAAGTGTCAAGTGTTTGGTCTGAGACCGGATTTGAACTCAGGTACTCCTGACTTCAGGGATGGTGCTCTATCCACTGTGCCACCTAGCTGCCCCCGATAATAATTACTTTTTCTATGTCTTGCCTGTCAGCTCAAGGGCAGGGACTAGCTTATTCATCTTCCCAAATCCAAAATGCCTTGTGCACTGAATATGCTGTATTTATTAGTAAAAGTAATATAACTACCTCATGTTTCTATGGCATTTTAAAGTTGATGGGAATGATTCATATCTATATGCTAGGTACCATGCCAGGGGCAGGGGAAAAGCAAACACAAAGCATGAAGCGCATCTCCAGGAGTATAGCTCGCCAGACTGTTGGAACTCACCTTTATAGAGCTCGCTAAGCATTGTAAAGAGCTTTATCGTTTTAATAATTAAAGGTTCACAAAGCATTTGATATGCATTTGACCCTCTTACCCACCGTATGAGATAGATGCTGTTATCATCTTCATCGCACAAATGATGAGACCTCAGAGGATGAGTGACTTGCCCACAATTACACAGCAAGAAAATGTCTGAGGCAGGATTTGAACCCAGGCCTTCTTGATTATAAACCAGCCTTTTAAGCACTGAGTCGAGGTGCCTCACAGAGCAACAGAAAAGGAAGCTTTGTTAAGCAACTCAGGAAAGCCACGTGTTTTTCAGGTAGAATACGTGAGCTGGTGCAGGCAAACCCAACCACAGTGGACCGGCTTCCTCCCTTTGCTTCCTTCCACCCTAGTATTTAACTCAATAACAAGTTGGGCATTCTGTATCCGCTGTTCAACTTTCCCATTATCTCAAGGACAAAATAAAAATTTCAGAAACAAAACACTTTCAATGTGGCAAAAACAGATGTTCCCCAAGTCAACCCTGCAAAGAAGGGTAGTGCTTATCTGATTTAGAGGGTAGGTTATTTCTTTAATGCTGAGCAATCTTGGGATAGCCAGGGTGTCCTGCCAACCTCATGACCCTCAACTCCAGTCATTAGAGAGCCAAACAAATGTCCTGAGGCCCACCATGTTTTATCAAAAGCTAGGGTGGCCATAAGGACAAGAATTCGGATTGGGACAAAATCCAGTAGAGCATGGACCACCATGTTTTTTGTCAACAACTGGAGTGGCCATAAGGACAGGAATTCAGATTGGGACAAAATCCAGGAGAGCATGGACCACCATGTTTTTTGTCACAAGCTGGAATGGGCATAAAGATAGGATTTCAGATTGGGACAAAATCCGGGAGAGCCCATTTCAGGTGTTGAGACTCAGAAATAAGCCCCTTAATGGCTTCTCTGGGTCCTGTCAGTCTTTGAGTGAATGGAAAGTCATCTTGGTTCCAGCAAAACCCAAGCTCAGCTCCAGGCTAGCTAACTCGGTTCAGCTCTAAAACAGAATTCTCCCACATCTAGATGATTTTGCAAATCCAACCCTAGGTGTATAAAGCATGTATACAGATCAGGAAATAGAAAGTGATTCCAGGCGTGGGAGGGGAACACAAATAACTACGGAGAAATCAATCAACAATCATTTTTTTAATTCATTCATTCATTCATTGATTTATCTATTTATTTATTTGTTCACTTATTTATCCATCTATTTATTTGCTTTATTTATTTTATTAATTTATTTTGATTTATCAACAATCACTTCCATATGTTTTTGAGTTTAAAATTTTTCTCCCCTTTCTTCCCCACCACCCTCCCCAAGATGGTGCACAATCTAATATAGGCTATACATTTATATTCCTATTAAACATATTTTCATATTAATGATGTTGTAAGGAAGAATTAGAACCAATAGGAGGAACCACCAGAAAGAGGAAACAAAACTCAACAGAAGAGAAAAAAAAATAGCAATTCAACTTCCATAGTTCTTTCTTTGGATGTGGATAGCATTTTCCATCACGAGGCCTCTGGAGATGTCTTAGATCCTTGTAATGCTGGGAAGGGTTCAGTTTATCAATATTAGTCATCGTACAACGTGGCTGTTATTGTGTACACCATTCTCTTGGTTCTGCTCACTTCACTCAGCATCAGACCATATAAGTCTTTCCAGGTTTTTCTGAAGTCAGCCTGTTCATCATTTCTTACATCACAATAGTAACAAACATTTATTAAGGACCTAGAGATGTTTATATATCCACTCCTAGAAAGAAAGAAAGCTGGGCATCTAGGTGGTACAGTGGATAGAGCTCAGAGCCTGGAATCAAGAAGATCTGAGTTCAAATCCAGCCTCAGACACTAGCTGTGTGATCTTGAGCAAGTCACTTAAACCCGTTTGCCTCAGTTTCTTCATCTGTAAAATGAGCTGGAGAAAGAAATGGCAAACCCCTCCAGTATCTCTGCCAAGAAACTATGGAACCTAGGGCTTCCTAGCTCCCTAAGAGTAAGGGACTAAGAGGTGGAGGTGAGGAAAGAAAGAATCCCAGGCAGGGGTGAAAGAGGACAGGATGGAAGCGTCATATACTGGGGATGCTAGCTGCATTTTTGGTGGGGGAAGAGGGGGTGGGGTCACTGTTGGCAGTTCTCACCTCTGACCCTTTGAGAAGCACACTCCAGACTTTTTGCAGGGATTCCTATCCTGCCATTAGGGTGCCAAGGAAAAGGGGAGAGGGTAATTTGGAAGCAAAATCTCCTTCCAAAAAGACATTCCTTCAACACTGTGCTCTATCTCCCGTCTCCATATCTTTTCACTGGCTGTGCTCCGTATCTGGAATGTTCTCTCTTCTTTCCTTGAATCCCCTGGTTTCACTTCAAGACTTAAGTACTTAAATTTTCTTTCCTAAACCACCAGGGGCCACATCTCTTCCTCCCCAAACCGCTTTTTATTAATTTTCACATATATTCATGTTTGTATTATGTATTTTATTATTTTAGTTTCTATTGTAATATTTATAAACATAACATTTATAATATACTTACAGACAGAAGTATATATTATACTTAAAATAGAATTACATATTTTGTTCATATGTATTTACTTATATATTTCATTCATTTTGTTCATATTTGTATGTCTTTTTGTTTCTATTATAGTTAGAAATATATATTTACATTTGTACTCTTATCTGTTATATACAACATAATATATGACATAATATATCTATATATATCCTTGTGCATATATTTATATATACATTTTATGTATATATTGTTTCTAATCTTTATTTTTGTATATGTTGTATTTATTTTGAATATATTTATGTGTGTCTGTGTGTAAACATAGACACATGTTGTTTCCAGAGGGTACAGACTGTTTGCCTTTAGCGCAGTGCCTAAATGCGTAAGAGACGCTTAACAAATTGCCTGTTGGTTGACTGATATCACATAGTACAAAACCAGACAGATGTTGAATATTGGATGATTGATTGGTATGTTTATTGAGTGCCTCCTTCACGAAAGGAACATAGTTGGCTCTAGATTCTTTAAGGGATAGAGAGTGGACCTGTGATGTTGTTGGCTGAGTGGGCTTCCAGAGGAGCAGGCTCCCTCTACCCACCATTGCAGGTCAGCAGCCTTGACATCATATGGTTCTAGAGAAGTGCCCAGAAGACTTAAGGTTAAGAAACTTAAAGGTCAGACAGCCAGTGTGCACCAGAAGCAACACTTAAACTCAAGTCTTCCTGGCTTCAAGGTTGTCTCTGGCCATTGCACCACACAGAAATTCCAATTTATCTCACAGGACATCTTGCATATGGATTCAGTCATGTGACTTGGAGACTTTGACTTGTCCTTTCTTTCTTTGTTTTTTTGTTTTTCCCTCTGATTTTTTCTTTAGGGTCTGATTTACAATTTAACCCTTGGGTCAGTCACGCTCAAAGACTGGTTAATTTTCCCACTGGATATGGAGGACGCACTGCAGTGTTATCTGAGCAGTGATGCAGCATTCAGGAAGAGTCCTTCCAACTCGACTCTCCCATCTTTTTATGTTGGTCAGTTGTCCATTCCTACTGGAATTCCCGACTTGCCTCAGGACACCTATATCCAGTTTCCCAATTGGACCAAGGTATGATCAACTTGGGGCTTGGGTGCTTTCTGTTTAAACAAAAGTCCCCATACGTAGTCTTTGGGATCTGTATATGTTGTCAGAGATTCCTTTTAAAATTAAATTTTACTTTATTTTCAGATCTGCATTGTTTCCCCTCCTATTCCCACTGAAACCCTTGTTACAAACATATATAGTCAAGCAAAACAAATTCCTGCATTGGCCACGTCACATCCTTCCTTCGTCCCCCATCATCCCCCCTCCCCTTAAAAAAAATTTGTCTTGGGCTCTTCTGCGTCTGTCGCGTCTCTATCAGGAGGCGGTAACAGGTTTCCTCTGGCGTTGTGGTTGGTTATTGTGTTGCGTTCCAAGTGTTCACAAAATTGCTACTGTATACATTGTTCTCCTGGCTCTGCTCGCTTCACTCTGCATCCGTTCGTGCACGTCTTCGTTTGGTTCTCTAAAACCATTCTCTTTGTCATTCATTTCTTATAGCACAATGATATTCCATAACAATGTAGATTGTAGTTGATGGGCATCTCCTCAGAATCTTGAGTTCTTTGCCGCCATAAACATAGATGCTATCAATATTTTTGTACGTATGGGTCTTTTTTCTCTTTCTTTGACCTCTTCAGGATATAGACTAAGCAGTGGTCTTGCAGGGTCAAAGGGTATACACATTTTAGTGACTTTGGGGCACAGTTCCAAATTGCTTTCCAGAATGGCTAGATCAGTTCCCAGTTCTACCAACAGTGTATGAATATACTTGTTTTCCCATAGCCCCTCCAACACTGGTCATTTTCCTTTTTGGTCAGTTTTGCTGATCTTGGAGGTATTTTAAATATCATTTCTCTAGTTATTAGTGGTCCAGAGCATTTTTTCCATATGGCTATTGGTAGTTTGGATTTATTCCTATGAAAACTGCCTCTTTATATCCTTTCACCATCTGTCAGTTGAGGAATGTCTCATTCATATGAATTTAAATCAGTTCCCTAGATTTTTTTAGAAATGAGACCTTTATCAGAGAAACTTGCTACAATTTTTTCCCCATTTACCTTCATTTTTTTTCACCATTTTAGCAGTGTTTGGTTTTATTTGTGCAGAAACTTTTTAATTTTATATAATCATATTGTCCATTTTTACCTTCTACGAACCTCCCTATCTCTTGTTCGGTCGTGATATCTTCCCCATCTATGGATCTAACAGATAATTTCTTCATTGATACTGTACTTCATTTATAATATTACTCTTGATATCGAAGTCATGTATTTGGGGTTTGAGAGATATTGGTCTCCTGTCTGTCTGTCTTTCTGTCTATCTACCTACCTACCTATCCATTGGTCTATATCTTGCTTCTGTCAGACTGCTTTCTAGTTTTCCCAAGTTTTTGTTGAACAGTGAGTTCTTGCCCCAGTAGCTGAGATTTTTGGGTTTGCCAGACACTGATTTCTGGGCTTATTTGCTTCTGTATATTTTGTGCTTAATCTGTCCCACTGATCAGCGTCTATTTTTGTAATTAGTACCAAATTGTTTTACTGATTACTGAAAAGCTGAGATTCTTAACCTGGTGTCCACAGCGAGATTCTGAGGGAATCCTTGAACTTAGATGAGAAAAAAATACATTTTACTTTTTACTAAATTCAGACTGAAATTTAGCATTTCCCTCAGATATGAATTTCTTAAAAAAAAAAGCAGCATTCTGAGAAGAAATCCATAGGTTTTATCAGACTGCTAATACTTAGCACAGTGCTTAGGTCACGTAGTTAAAAAATGCTTGTTGATTCGGCCTTTGACCACCAGGATACAAAAATGGTTAAGAACCCTTGATTTAAAGAACGAGAAATTACGTGATTGCAATATTAAGTGAGATAAGAATATGATAAGGATGTTTAATGTTGCCTCCCCTGGGACAGGCTTTGCTTTTATCCTATGAGTGTGGATTTAATAGTTAAGCATTTTTGACTGTGTAAAACTAAGAAGTAGAAGAGAGGGGTTAGACCAAGTGGCCTCTGAAATCCGTTTTATTTATAAACTTCTATGACTCTGAATGTGTCATCCTGGGATGCATATATTTGGCCATTTATCCTCTAAGCACTGGTCACACCCAATCCTCTCACTGCCACTTCCTCTATTCTGGTCCATCCCTGTCCTGCCCCACCACCCCCATCTTCAGCAGCCACTATGGGTCTACAAAAATGACTTTGATTTAATGAATGAAATAACTGATAAGGATGAGCAGCGAGAGAAAAATGAAGGCTAAGATTTACATGGATGATTAAACTGGAAAAAATAGCAGTTCTTGCTACTAAAATGTTTTTTGATTCACTCTTTGGAGGTTGCCGGTGATTTTGTCTTTCCTCAGCTGCCTGTGGCACCGTTAGTCCCCCCACCAGTAGCCATTCTGTGGCACTTAGCACTTGTTTCATTGCGCAGAGGCAAGCAGATTTCACCCTCAGGAAGGGTGAAATCATCACCTCTTCAGAAAGGCCAGCATTTTTGAGAAGCATGGATTTAGAGTTGGGAGCGACCTCAGAGGTCCTGGAATCCAGCCTCCTTATTTCACAGATGAGAAAACAGAGGCCTAGCTGGGTGATGTGATGGCCTGAGATCCCACAGGTAGGTAGTTAATGCCAGAACCCAGTCTTGAACCCAGGCGCTGTGACCCCAGATGCAGCAGCACTCGTTCTCCAGCAGTATCTCCGTCCAGATTCTTTTTATCCAGAATTTCTTTTCAAACTCCCCATTTTTCATGAGGCAGGTGATGATCTGTGAAAGGAAGTTTGGCCAGGAAGGAGATAAAAAAGTGTTACCAGCGTCTGCCCACACAATTGGTGCTTTTCCAGCTTATCTTTACAATCAGCATTTCAGATCGGGGAGATAAAGCTTGGCTTAGCAGGTGGAGGCCTTGGGAGCCCTCTGTTTGTGGGTTCTCATGCTTGGCAAAGAACTACTACCGTCATCGGATGACTCTTTGTCTTAGCTTAGGCCAGATAAAGTTCAGTTCAGCTGTGGGCAGAGCAGTGTGTGAGGCAAAAATGAGATAGCATAGGCCCTGAGGCTTTCATGGGATTTCCATTCTAGGAGGGGGGAATATTTATCTCTGTGTGTGTGTATGTGTGTGTATGTATAACTACATAAGAATTTGTGTGGTATGTGTACATATGTGTGTGTATATGAATTCATATATATAATTAAGCATGAATAGTATGTGTATAAATATATAAAGTACATATGTTTATATGCATCCATGTACACACATATATACACACATACACAGTGTACCTCTATTTATGATATCTGTGTATATATGCATACATATGGATGAATATCTACATGGATTTTGGCTGTATATGTACATTTATGTTTTGGCTTGTTTTTTCAGCCAAAGACAAGGTTTATTAGAACATCCGCCATATTGGCTAGACTCTTAAGGAATCTGAACATTACTGAGCTATTGGCTGGATCATAAGAATGAGCAGATTTTAAGAATCTGAGCTACATTTATGTTAATATATGTGTATAGACACATAAAGTAAGTGATCTCTATATATATATCAGTGCACACATGCACATACATGTCAGTGCACACGTACACACACATGTTTGGTCTATCTTTGTGCACATGTGCATACATAGGCATGGATATCCATATGTGTTTTGGGTATATATGTGTATGTGTACATTAGGTTTGTATACATGCATGTACATGCAAAACAAATGTTTGCATGTATTCTGCAACATAAACATGTATACAATACATAGGTGTATACTACATCTTTGTGCATACATGTATATGTGTATGCATGGGTGTGTGTGCAGACAGAAATGTGTATTTAGAAGGCTATACACATATGTATGTATTATATATAATATATATTTATATTTATATAAATGGGTATGCATAAATATATATGTATATATTTATACGGGAATATATAAATATATATATAAAACACCTAAAGTATACACAATATATATCCAAAAACACATGGCTGTTCATACATATGTATGCACATATTTCCATGTGTATGTGTATATGTATATATGCACACGTATATGAGTGTCCACATGCATGTACAGGATGTAAATGGAAAGTCTTATAGTTAGACTCACAAAAATCAGCTTCTCAAGTGAAGGATGGGAAAGATGTGGTTAGATCTGGTGGGTTTAGTGGATTTCAGATTGAATGTGAATCAGTAGTGTGATTTTTAAAAACTCAGACCTCCTGTGATTTTCACTGGTTTTTCACTCCTGCTGAGGAAACGACCTCTATTTAAAAAAAATTTTTAAATATTTTTCAATTAACAAGCATTTATTTTCTCTCTTCTACCTCTTGCATTCCTACCCCACCTTGAAAGAGAGAGAGAGGAAAAAAGAGAGAAAGGGAAAACTTTTGGCAGATATTGCTTAATCAAGCAAAGCAAATCTCCCGGACTGTCCAAAAATGTATGTCTCATTCTGCATCTTGAGTCATTACTGCTTTGGCAGGAGGTGGGTAGCATCTTTCGTCTTTGGCCCTCTTGATGCCTGGCCTGAAACTCCTGGTGACAGTGTGGATTGGCACCTACTTTTCAATTTATAATTGTTAGGTGGCTTACCCAGGATCACAGATCAACATGTCCCATGGTGTGGTTATAAGCACTGAGACTTTGGGGAGATACTATACGGTAGTCAGTAAAACTAACTCAGTATCCGTGGACAGACATAGTATCTGGGCCTAGAAAGGTGCTAATTTTTAATTTTGCTGAGCTCTACACCCTCTTTAGCCCCTCTTGTGGAGTATTGTTTACAATTCTGAACAATGTATTTTAGGAAAGATGTTAATAGGAGTATCCAGAGGAGGACATGTAAGATAGTGAAGGGTCTTGATCATACCATATGAGGGTCAGATGGAAAAACTGAGTGTCTTTGGTTTGAAAGAGAGAAGCGTTAGAGGAGGTGATTCAGGTGGTTTGGAAGAGACATTTCTTCCAGCTATCAGGAGGAGAATTGGGAGGAGAACACTGAGTGGAAATTGCAGAGAGGCACATTCAGACTCAATGTCAAGAACACTTTCTAACATTTAGAGTAGAAGGGGGTTGCCTCCTCAGGTACTGGGTCCCTCTTCCTCACAAGAGGTCTTCCGGCTCAGGCTTAAAGAGCCCTTCTTAGGTGTGATGTAAAGGGATACTTGCTTGGCCATGGGTGGGATTAGATGGGCTCTGAGTTCCCTTCCAAGTCTCAGATTCTATGAGCTAGCAGACTTTAAAAAACCATACACTTTATCAGCCAAGAAGTAGGTCAGATATTTCCTGGAATTAACATTCATTTGAACAGCTGAATGGTGGCTGAAGTTTATTATACCTGTGGAATAAAAAAAAAATTAATCAATAAATACAGGGTGTCCCAAAAGTCTTAGCGCAGGGCTTACGCTGTATTGGAATGCCTCCTTGCAGGAAGAGTCATGCAGAGAAAATTAAGAACCAGCTGTTCCTTAGATATATCACTGGCTGAAATCATCTCATCCAATCTACTTTTACCAGTGAAGAAACTGAGGCACCCAGGAGTGGGGAACCTGTGGCCTCCAGGCCACATGTGGCCCTCTAGGCCCTCAAGTGTAGCCCTTTGACTGAATCCAAACTTCACAGAACAAATCCCCTTAATAAAAAGATTTGTTCTGTAAGACTTGGACTTATCTCAGTCACTGACTACAGACACAGTGCCTAATATGTAGTAAGTTCTTTATAGATGCTTTTCGACTGACACTCTGGCATCCAGAGGGGAAGTGACTGGCCCAAGGTCACACAGGTGAATTAGAAACCTGAGTCATGTCTCAGGGATCTTATTTCTAAACCAGGGGTCTGGAATCCCTGTGAACTTGCTTTTAAAATATATGTATGTATGCATATATGTGTATATGTGTGTGTGAGTGTGTATGTGTGTCTATGTATGTATATGTATTTTTGATAAATGTATTGGTGTCCTTTGCAATCCTAATTGGGGTCAGTGGACCCGTTGGATCCATGGATAGATTTCAGGAGATCCATGAAGTGAGATGAGAAGAAAATCCATCTTTCCTTCAATATAATTGGTTTCCTTTGTGATCTTGTGTATTTTATTTCATGCATTTCAACGCATTATTCACCAGACTGCCAGAGGGCATGTCTACATGTGTGTCTGCACTGGATCTGTCTAGAGAGGCTGCTTGCTACCTGTATGACCCTGTACAGGTCCTTCCAAAACCTGACCCTCAGTTCTCATCTGAGGTATGTTCTCTAAGGACCCTTCCAGCTCTAAAGCTTATATGGTCACCGAAAACGGGGGAGATCAGATGCCAGACACAGACTCTACCCTTGGCCAGCCAGCCTGGCCTGTGGTGATGCTGAAGACATAGGCTAAAGCAAAGTCTTCATTGTAACCCTGAGAAGAAGCCCCTCATTGTGGTCTCTGAACCTCCCTTCACAGAACTCTTTTCCTCTTGACCGAAAAAGTGGGGTGAGTGTTCTTTCTCCCTTGCACCTCCACCCCCTACTACTGCAAAAACAAGCCACCGGCAGATTTCTAAAGTGATAAAAGCTTTTAGTATGCACACCTTTTCAGCATGGATCAAGATAGCATGTCCTCCTGCAGAAGCAATACAGATACTTCTCAGAATCCTCAAACTGTGAAACTAACCTTTTTTTTTTTCTAAATGACTGAGACTCAACAGCCAGTTTCTAATCACTGGTTTCTCAGTCCCCACTGACACGTAAATGATGTGATCATTGACTCTCCTAGGACAGGTAACCATGGCGATATTTGGTATTTTGAGAGGTGTACCACCCCACCCCATCCCCTCCTCTCGCCCCAGCTCCTTGCCCAGGTTGCAGATGGCAACCCTTCCACACCTTCTGCTCCTGGGAGAAAGAATCCACAATCTGGACTTTGGAGAAAACTGGATTTGAGGCCTGCCTCTGATACTAGCTACCCAACAAGCTTTTATTAAGAGATATGGAGTCTTAATGCAGATCAAAGTATATTATTTGCTCTCTTTTTTTTGTTTGTTTCTTCTTTCTTGTGGTTTATCCCATTGGTTCTAATTCATCTTTACAACATGACTAGTGTGAAAATAGGTTCAATATGAATGTATATGTAGAGCCTGTATAAAATTGCATACTGTCTTGGGGTGGGGGAGGGGAGGGGAGAGATGGGGAAAAAATTTGGAACTCAAAATCTTACAGAAGTGAATGTTGAAAACTAAAACTAAATAAATAATAAAAAAAAAAGATTATTATGTATGAAGCACGGGGCCTATGCTATATAGAGAGAATGAGAAGCTCGAGGCACTCCCATTCTTTTGGAGATTGCAACATAGACAGTTATGGACACAGTAATTGCAGGAATGAGAGAGCGCTGCTCACCAGGGAGATTAGGAGGGGCTTGCTTCCTGTACAAGGTGGCATCTGAGCTGAGTGATGAAGAATGCCAGATTCTAAATAGGAGAGCTGAGCGAGGAGAGCTTTCCAGGCATGGGGGCCAGTGATGGGAACTGGAAGAACCAAGTTGGGGGACATAGCAGGGAGGTAAATGGAGCGCATATTGTGTGATGAAGAGTAAAATGAAATGGACCTTTTAGGGGAGGTTGGAGCCAGATTGTGAAGGACTGTCAATGGGCAGTTTGTGTTTTATGCTGGTGGCATTAGGAAGTCCACTGAAGGGTTTGTTCAGGGGAGAGCCAACCAAGATGATGCTTGAGCTTTAGAAAGATCGTTTTATTAGTTGTGCTGAGAAAAGATGGGAAGGGGAGAGATTGGAAGCCAAGAGTACTTTTAGGAGATTGTTGTGCAAGTCATGGTGAGAGGTGATGAGATTCTGGGCCCAGCTATATGGCTGTGGATGGAGAGGAGGAGGAAGATGGGGATGGAAAACATTCAGTTGGGGGTAGTGGAATCAATAGAGTTTTAGCAATTGATTAAATGGAGGGGGAAGGAGAGGGAAAGAGTTAAGGATGTCTGAGATTGCAAACCTAGGTAACTGGAAATATGGTGGTGCCCTCAATAGACATAGGGAAACATTGACGGAGAAAAGCTTATGAGGAAATATAAGAAATTCTCTTTTGGACATGTTGAGTCTGAGATGCCAACAGGACATCCATTTGGAGGTATTGAAAAGCTGGTGACATGAGATTCAGGAAAGAGCCCAGAGCCAGATATATAGATGTGGGAGTTATCAGCATGGAAATGATCATTGAACCCAAGCTAGCTGATTGATCAACAGGGCTACTTACTTACCGTTTGTTGAATAATGAACTCATTTGGTGATGCCTGTGGACCTTTTCTCTGAGTTATGTTTTTAAGTGCATTTTACCAGGATTACAAAGTAAACAAACTATGTTGAAATAGTTTAAATATTTTTAAATCAGGTTCATGGACCGCAGGATAAGGATACCTGCCCTACAGAAAGGGTATAAAGAGAGAAGAGAAAGCATAGAAAGCCTGTCCTTGGAAGAAAGGACAGCAAAGGAAACTGGAAATCTAATGCATTGACAACGTGTAAATTGCCTTCAGAGATCTTAAGATGCCGCATAAATGCTACCCTCATCATTAAAGATCAGTCTGGTGGGAGGATAGTCAGGAATAGGCATTGTTTCGCAGACTTAGGGAGAGTGGACTAACCAGCGGGAGGCGGTAAACAGTGTTAAATTCTTGCCGTGAAGGATGAGAAAGGCCATTGGATGTAAGGATAATACAGTAATTGGTAGTTACATAGTGCCTGCTGACTGTTAGGCACCCTGCTAAGAGCTTCTTTACAAATCATATGCCATTGGATTCTCACAGCTACCGTGGCAGGCAGGTGCTGTTATTATCCCCACCCCCACTGTAAGGATTAGGAAACTGAGCAAATGACAGTTAAGTGACTTGCCCAGGGTCACACAGCTAGTAAGGGTGCAAGGCTGGATTTAAATTCAGGTCATCCTGACTCTAAGCCTGGCACCCTGTGCCACCTAGCTGCCCAATTTTATCCTTAAAATTTAGCATTTGAAATGACCTTGGTAACCTTGGAGGGGACAGCTTCAGTTGACTGATAAGGTCAAAAGCCTGATGCAAAGGACTGGGAATAAGTGGAAGGAGAGGAAGGGGAAGCAATGGACATGGATGGCTTTTTTTTCTAGGAGTTTGTCTGTGGGCAAGTCACTGAATCGTACTGAGCCTCAGTTTTCCTTGTCTGTAAAATGGGGATTATAATACTTATCAGCCTTGCTTCACAGGGCTGTCTTGTTGTTTAAACGAGATAATGTATGGCTCTCTTTTATAAATGTATGGCCTGTGAGCTCTTTTAGGTAGAGAGAACGGGAAATAAAAATGTTTTCTAAGTCAGAAAGTTTGACTCGGTCTTCCTAGGAGGTAGAACCCCTGGTCTCTTTGGGCACAGAAAAGGCAGAGGAGCATTTAAGGACAGTCCCCAGGACACAGGGAGTAGTTTAGAGTCAGTCCTCTTCTCTGGGCCTTGTATTGGCACCTGGTGGCTGCTGAGGTTGGCCACGAACCATCTTTGTTTCTCTGAAGTCGAGGTAACTTCAGGGTAACTCTTATTTTTCAGTGGTATAGCTTAGATGCCTTTGCCATCAGCAGGATTCCTTTCTCACGGCCTGGGTGCGCTGCTGGAGTTCTTCTTCATGTGGACCTGTCAGACCTGCGTTCAAAAGAAAGAAGTGCATTTGGGTGCACAGAGAGATGGCCATGATGACTGATAGGACTGATAGACCCTTATCACCAGCAGCATCTCCTCTTCCAAAGCTGTTTACCTTTTTGGGTGGACTTTGACGATGTCCATTCTCTCTCTTGCAGGGACAGGTATGGGTCAATGGCTTCAATCTTGGCCGGTATTGGCCAGCTCGGGGCCCCCAGGTCACTCTGTATGTTCCAAGACACATCCTGGTCACCTCTGCCCCGAACAACATCACTGTGCTGGAACTGGAGAGATCTCCATGTAATTTCGAGGAGAAATGTTTTGTGGAAATGGTGGACAAGCCTGTGCTCGATGGACCCCTGTCCTCGTCAAAGGAGTCCTAGAAGGTGGTCAGTTCATCGTGAAGGCTGGATGGTCCATGATGCCTTCAGAAGGACCATCTTCTTGGAATCTTGACTTTTTATAGAACCTAATGAATCTGGTCTAGTTGGAAATTACTGATTGGAAAATTGTGTGCGTGCCCGTGTGTGTGTGTGTGTGTGTGTGTGTGTGTGTGTGGTGTGTGTGTATGCGTGCACATGTGCACGCGTATATGTTAATTGTTAAGGCTGGTTTTATTTGTTGCCTTGTAAATTAAAATCATGAGCTCCCTGTGGGAAAGTACCAAGCCTACCCAGCAATGACATAAACCCCTGTAGTGCCTATTGCCTCTACAAGGTCTTGCACCCTGTGGGCGCCCTATGAATGTTTGCTATCACTGATCATGGTAATAGAACAATAAAGCACACACCCCGAGGATTTGATTTTGCCTCAAGTATTTTTTGATTTATTTGCACTGGAAATTTCTAGGGAAGAATTGTGTTTCCTGAATAAAATTTATACTCATTTGATCAATGTGTTTTGAATTGTTTTCCTTTAAAGTAACAGTTTGGGGTCTTTGTTTCTGTCTTCTATTTGAAGATTCACCAACTGGTAGTGCAGAGGATTGAGTCCCAAAGACTTGAGTTCAGATCCTGCTGAACTCTTGTAACCCTGGGCAAGTTCCTTAACCGGTGTCTGCCTCAGTTTCCCTATCTGTGAAATGGGGACAATAATAACACCTACCTTGCAGAGTTGTTTTGGGACTCCAATGAGATAAAAATGTTAAGCACTTTACAAAGGCATTTACAAAACTATTACGACAGGTAGGTTGCTCAGTGGGTAGAGAGCGCTGGACCTTGAGTTAGGGAGACCTGAATTCAAATGCAGCCTTAGCAAATTACTAGCTGTGTGACCCTGGACAAGTAAGTCACTTTACTTGTGTCTGCCTCAGTTTTCTCTTCTGCAAAATGGGGATAATAATAGCACCTACTGCCTAGGTTTGTTGTAAGGATCAAATAAGATAATATTTTTAAAGCATCCTGTAAACCAACCCTTTAAAACTTTAATTATTGATGATAATAAAATCTTTCATAAAAACCTTTAATACCTTAATTGTTGATTTAAAAAATCTAGCGTTTATGTAAACATGTAAAGAAAACCTTGTTTATAGCTTAAGATACTGTATAAACTCTTATAGTCTTCAGTTCTTCTGTCTCATGCTACGAAGCCCTTATATGCTTATAAAATGACTGCTTTGTAGTTATATACAAATGAGGAACTTTGGGAAGCTACCTGAAAAAGTTTTTTTTTAAAAAAAAATTATGCTTTATTTTGCCATTCATTTTTTAAAATTTTGCATTCCCAATTCTCTCCCTGCTTCCAACTTCTCCCCTATCCATTGAGAAGGAAAGCAATATGATATCAGTTATACATGGGAAGTCTTGCAAAACGTATTATTATTAGCCATAATAGCCATAATAGCAAAAAATAATTATGTGAATGCTAGATATTATCAATAATCATAATACTTTGTTAATTCAAACATCTTTAATTTACTCAGTGTGGGTACTCCATCTACTAGTTGCAGCTTGGAGCTCTGATACAACTCTGATAAGATAAGCTGACCATCTTAGTAAAATGATTTTTGTAAGCTAGAAAAATTCATAGGGACGGCTAGGTGGTGCCATAGTGCACAGAGTGCTAGGTCTGGAGTCAGGAGGACTCATCTTCCTGAGTTCAAATCTGGCCTCAGACACTTACTAGTTATGTGACCCTGGGCAAGTCACTTAACCCTGTTTGCCTCAGTTTCCTCATCTTTAAAGCGAGCTAGAGAGGGAATTGGCAAAACCATTCCAGTATCTCTGCCAAGAAAACCCCAAATGGGGTCATGAAGAGTTGGGTACAACTGAACAACAACAATAAAATTCCTTCCTCTGAGCCCAACCTGATGATGACAGACCTGTAAGATAGCCTAAGCATGTATTAAGCACCAGCTGTGTCCTACGGCTTGTCCTCTGACAACAGGCATCATGCCCATCACCAGCTCTATATGTCTTGCTTGGTAGGATCTTCCAGATTTCCACAATGCAGGCCAGGACTTTGAGAACCCAGGATAGCCTTCATACCACAATGAGGTATTGATGAAGTCCCTACATTAGGAGAATATTTACAGGCTGGAATTTGTCCTGATGGGAACTAGGATGGTGAGAAGAGTAGAAAAACAATGCTGTAAGAGGCTCACTTGTAGGAACTGTAGATATTTATCATAAAGAAGAGTTAGGCTTAGGGAGGAGGTGATGGTGTCTTCAGACATTTTAAATAATTAATCTTGTGGAGGAGGGGTTAGATGAGTTCTGTTTTGCTCTAGAAGGCTGAATAATCAGCAGTGGGTAGCAGAGGGAGATTTGGACTTGATAGAAGGGAAGATTTCCTAATAAGCAAAGCTGTCTAGAAAGAGAATGGGAAGCCTTGGGAGGTAGGGAGCCCCTCCATTCTTACAGAGCTTCCAAGGGAATTCTGAATGGCCACTTTGTCAGGTGTGTTATAGGGAGATTCTTGCTCAGGTACACCTTGGATTAGCTGGTCACTCTGAGATTCTCTGGACGTGCTTAAATGTCATTCAGAAAAATGACTGATTGTTTAATGCCAGCCTAGGTGGAATACCTTGGCTTTGCAAAAAAATATGGCAAGGAGGTATTTTCATGAGTTTCGTGACTGTTCTGCCTGCCAGTTTACCACATCTGGTTTAATGAACCACATGCTTTCCCCCGTTTTAGTAGACGGATGTTTCATGTGTTAATTACGTAATGGAGGTTTTCTACAGTGTGGAGTGATATGTAGCTATGTGCCCAGAATGAAAAATATAGGATTGAAAACCCTAGCTTTGGGGCAGCTAGGTGGCACAGTGGATAGAGCACTGGTCCTGGAGTCAGGAGGACCTGAGTTCAAATCAGGCCTTAAACACTTACTAGTGGTGCAAGTCACTTAACCCCCTTTGCTTTGTGGGGGAAAAAAACCTACCTTCAGTAGCAACACATATGTATAAAGGTTTGTCCAGCTCCAACATTGTCTTCTATCTTTGAGGTTTTTTTTGTCTTAGTATATCGAGTTATTGCCTAGCAAAACCTCAGTTTTTGAATGGTTACTCAACAGTCACCAAGCATTTATTATTATATGCTTATTATATGACGGACAAAAGAAACACAAAAAAGAAAACCTTATTTACAGCTTAGGGTTTACACGAATGGTACAGTCTTCACGTCTGTCTCTTGCTGCCAAGCTCTTGTATGCTTCTAAAGTGACCTCTTCATAGTTATATTAAAGCAAGGAGCTTTAGGAAGCCACCTGACAAGATTCCTCTTAAAGCACCATAATCTTCGTATTTAAATTGAAACTTTCTCAAAGACCTGGTGTATTAGTGATTTCTGCAGAGCAAAACTCAAAGAAATTGTAGCTGTCCTGGCACTGTGATTCAGTCATCACTGCTATTTGCATGTTACTTACTTATTTGTGTGCTTGCTGAAGACGAGCTGAAGGTGTAACAAGGAACAGTGTGGGTGAGGAATACTCCAAGTTTCACATTGACTTGATTTCACGTAGACTTGCCTAAGGTTTTGTAGGTATTAATGAGCAGGGCTTGTATTCGAATCCAGGTCCTCCAATTCCAAATGCAGATTCCTTCCACTGTATCAGTCCTTAACAATGACCCCAACAGGCTCATTGGCTATTTAATCATCCAAAATAACAGGGAGGAATGAGGAAACAGCTTCATGAAGGTGGGGGTAGGAGTTATACAAGACCCCATTAGTAACTTTCTAAGAAAAGGCAACCCACAGCAGCCCCTAACTAGGAAGTTGGCCATGTGAGTAGAGAGAAGGGATTGGAGGAGAGGAATATAAAGGTAAAATTGATGAAACTTGGCCACTAAATAGATATAATAGAGAGGGAGAGAGAGGAGTCCAGGACAATGCCAAGGTTTTCAATCTAGGGGACTTGAAGAGTGATGGCACACTCACCAGAAAGGGGGAAGTTTGGAGAAGAGGTATGTGTGGGGGTCAGAGAAGGGAAGGAAGATAGTGAAACCAGTTTTGGATGTGGAGTATCTCTTTGGAGATGTCCAAAAGTAGCTGGTGATGTAAGACTGGAAGTTGGGAAAGATTGGGACTAGATGTATAAAATCATAGATTTAGAGCTAGAAGAAACCCTGGGAGCCATCTAGCCCAACTACCCAACCACAGGAAGACCCTCTAACATTGTTGGCAATTAATTTAGTGTAAAACTTTTGCATTTACATCGCAGTAACTGTGGAATATTGTTCTTTTGGTTCTACTCATTTCTCTCTGCATCGATTCACACAAATCTTCCTATAGTTTCCCCCCACCCTGAATTTGTTGTATTCATCAATTCTTACTACACAATAATATTGTATTACATCTCATGTACCACAGGTGATTCATCCATTCCTCCAATAGATTGACATCTACCTTTGTTTCCAATTCTTTGCTACCAAAAATTGCTGCTGTGACTCTTTTGGTTGTCATCTTTTTAAGGTGAATTCATTTTGGAAGAGGGACCCTGGAGCACAATCCTGTGGAAAGAGACCCTGAAATCCCCAAGGCCACTGCTCAGAAAGCCACCACGTTGAAGGAAACAGTGGAGAACCACATGGAGAAAGGATCCCACCTGAGAGCAAGAGTTAGGCATCATGTTGTCTGGTAACTTTCTACTTTCACTGATTATTTTTTGCCAAATATGTGCTAAAGTCAGTGGTTTCTATGCTGTTGGAAGAATAGATGTGCTACTAGCCCTACGAGTTTCAATGGCTAAGGCAAAACCCCAGTTCCTCCTAGTGGTTCTGTTTTTTTCCAGGCCATTGATGTGACTCAGACTGAAGGAGAAATGTGTTGTAAAGAGTTGTTTTTGTTCTCCCCAATGGTAACTCAAGATGGTTGTGATATATGTTAGGCCCATGGGAACCAAAAAAATCATAAATTCTAAATTTCAGGAAATCACTTTTGAGAAAAGTGATTACTGAAATCAAGATTCTGTTGTTCCCGTCACACAGCCTTCCTTCCCCTATCCCTAAAAAAGGATGATTCCCTTTGTTTTGCTCTTAATAGAAATCCTGTGTGTTTAGAATCATCAGCTATCTTAGTTTGGGCATTTGCTATCAGGAGGTAGGTAGGTAGGCTGATGTTCACCCCACAGGGCACCAGCTTAGAGACACTTCTCTCTGGTTCTTCCCTTATGAGCTCTTTCCCTTTTGAAAAGAAAGGTAGTCATTCTGAAAGCCCCTCTTTTTAGTCAGCGTGGGGACCTTTTCATGTTTGTGGTACAAGAGACAGTCACAATAGCACATAAGCTGAGAGGAAAGCTGTTGGTTTCCAGACAATGATTGAAAACTTTGATTTTAAAATAATTCTTAGTTGGAAGCTGAGGCCCTATCTTCCCATACTCATGATGCTTTCTCCCCTGTATTGGCCTTTGCCATAATAATCTGTGGTCTTTCAAGACTTCATTGTTATTTGGA